ATTACAGCAGGTGGCATTCTTTCTACAGATGAAAGATAAAACACGTTTCTATTTATCGTTGCTCTTGTATTATAATTACCATGAAGACTCAGGTTATCCTGTTTTTATTGAAAATTGTTTATCAGTTTTTACAATATTGCGACAAGTTACAATGATAATTATGAAATAACCTGTGCAGGAGTGCAAGAATTGCAGTGAAGTCGAACGTAATCATGTGTCGCGAATACATGAATGAACTGACATTATATTGACAGGTCACCAAATATGTCACCAGGTTATTAAAAGACAGATTTACACTGAATAATTTTTAAAAATTTACACTAGGGAGTGGTTACAACCTTATGGATTTGAGTTTACTAGTGACATTGCCCATTTTTTTCTTTCTTATAAATTATTAATATATCCAAGCAAAACATTTTTTTTCAATTTTGACGTTTTAAACTGCGTTTATTAAATCCGTAACAAGTCTGACAAATAAGTTGTTATCCACAAGTGAATTGCAAAATTTTTATTTCACTCTTAATATTTTTAAATCACTCACAAAAAAATAAAAAACAACCTCAGAAACATAAACATTTTGCTTATTATTTTTAATAGTTTTCACAGAATACAATTTGTTTAAAATTTTCATTAAAAGGTTGCTGCAACTAAATCAGTATTGTTTGACATATTTGTTTGGCTCTGTGAGACGTCAATTTGGGAATTGTATAAATCCCACACCACGATTGTAGAATAGATAGGTTTGTACACTAATGGCTTGGGATGGCGACGCTTCTTTTCGATCCCTATATCCATGGAAAGGACACATACAGCTAGCGCCTCTACCTTGTCGAGCGGAAATCATTCTAGTTATTTTGGGGATTTTCGTTTACATTGCTTTATGAACAATACAAAATTTGTAAATGACATTTGATCGGAGTCGATAAGTACGATTTCTTTTATTAATTACATCGGTTATAGACAGATGCCTATAGAGTTCTGTGTCCCTAAAACGTCAAAAACCAGGCGACGCGATCGGCAATTGGCGTCGCTGACCAGGGATATGCAAATGTATGCTAGTGTATCAACCTATCTATTCTACAACCGTGTCCCACACCAATACAATTCCAAAGTGTGTTTCGGAAACTATTTACTACAGATTATTTCGATACGAGTGCAAGAACCAACTGTGAAACACTATTTTATGTTGTGATAACCCAAACTTCCCGCCTTAAAAATTTGACCTTGAAACAGTTTGAAAGGCCCGCGAAAAATTCAAAAATTCAAAGTTTGGCCTTGGCTGTGATCGTCTAACAAATGAGAACCTACGTTGTGTTTTTTTTTTTTTTTGCTTTTGAAAAATGGCGGGAAGAAGTTCTTTCATACAAGTGCATACACTGTCGAGAGCGCAAGAAATAATAGACAAAATTAGGAGCCTTCCTAAGGAGGAAAAAGAAACGAAGAACGACAGACGCTCGATTTGCCCTTCTGGCGAGTCCGCAGGGCCAAGGCATCATCGGTCTTCATTCCCCAAAACCCCCTGGGGGTTTATTCACCGACATATTACATGTCAGACACCTTAAGATATGTGAAAGAAAAACACTCGCGAATTGACAGACATACACATATGAAAACCGAACAAACACAAGACCTACACATATGTAAATTGGATGGCAGAACCCGAATCATTATGAGAGTGTGGCGATCGAACAAAATATAGAACAAAATATATCAATTTCATTTACGAGCACAGAAAAAATACCCAGAGGGGGCGTTGTAGCGCAAGTAGAGGTTGGGACTCCTGATCGTCACTGTTCTCCCCCACGACGGTGATTCTATCTACACCAACGCCTGCTCACACGCATCTCTCCATTACGAACGTGCCCTGCGAAACGAGGCGGTTACGATCGCAGATCCGTAGTGGGGTCTCGACTATTGGGCCAAGTCGACAGCGTTAAAGACCCGCGATCGCCCCCTGAAGCTATACAAACCCGCGGATTTGTGCAGGTGCCGCGATTGATCCCGTCAGTTTGAGAAGGAGTCGCGCGCCCCACGTACACTACGAGTTATGTGTTATTTACTTCAATTTCATTTAAATGTTCAATCTCTATGACTCTAATATTAAATTACAACCGAACAAGTGTTAAAGTTTCAACAAAGAGCAATAAACAACATTTAAATTCGCCACACACTCTTACGAAAATTCAACAACAAATAATTCTTCATTGAGATTAAATTTGGACATCAGATAATTTGCAGGACAAAGACATTCATCAACAAAATATTTACATGAGCAAAACTTAGCAAAGATTTATAAAAACAAGATCTGGTGTGAAATAAGCTTGTACAAATTAAATATCATGTTAGGTCAGAACTGCAGAGCATGGAAATTTACGTTCAATTCAAATTATACAGCAAAGAAAATTACTGAAGCTAAAATTGTGAGACAAAGACAAATTGTATGAGGTGAAAGATTGTAAAGTTAACAGATTTACATGTGATTAATATTAATTCGTGTCCAGTCAAGTTATTGGTTAAAATTCAAACGTGAAATTATTTAGCTGCATTGTGGGCCATTATTACACATACATTTCCCCAAACAAAACACATAAACAAACATGGCAGACAATCTGCAGTTGCAAAATGGCGTTGGACGAATTCGTCATTCCAAATAATAGGCGTCGAAAATATGCGATGCAAAAATACGATGAATCCTGTGGCGTTGTATAAACGATGTGCTAAATCCAAAGAATAAAGGCACGTCCCCCCATGACCCACAATGTTGTTAATTTGTTCAATAGATTTAACAGTTCAAACATGTGCTCGTTTAAAAGAAACAAATGGACGCTTCAAAATGGCCGCTGCCTGAACAAAGAACGGTGAAAATAACAACTCGTTTGCCGCCATCCAAAATACAGATTTCACAAATATAGCTAAATAAAGCATGGCCCGAACTAGAAATCACTTCCTGTAAAGCCCTACTGCGATGGATTTTAAATGAAAGATAAAAAAAACGAGATTAGTGGAAAAACAAGCGCACGCGTCGCTGCGTCACGAGGTCAGAAGTATCGTCGGGGCTTGAAACTCGCCGCCAAACAGGTGTTCAAAACATACCTCTCCAAAGATGCGAAGATTTCGACACGGCTTACCGCCAACAGGAACACAAAAACCTCGTTGTAAGAACGATGAGAAATCAGGAACACCCAATGGCTCAACGGGCTGCTAGGTTTTCCAATGGAACAGATCAACACTGGAAAAACAAAACACAACAGCAAAAGGCACAGAATAATTCACAATTAAAAATACAACCTGTTGCTCGAAGCGCTCGAAAAGAAGTCGACCGTTTGTTCCAAGCGGTCAAAGCGAAGTGGTCGATTTTACCCGAAACAAAACTACCCTAACATTTGCGCATGCCTCTCTTTCTTGGTGTGGTTGATTGCCAACCTTCTTTTCTTCTTCTCACCAACTGTTTCTTGCGCGCGGGAAATTCATTTGAAATTTAAAAATTCGAATTGGATCCTTACAATGTGAAATGAAAAATTTGCTAAGGTGTTCTTTTAAACAAACTTCCACTACACATCTCCCCTGTATTCCAGCCTCTTCAACAATCATTAAGTGATGTGAGTTACCGGAAACTCACCTTGAAAGAACACAACTGTTTATGGTATGTTTGTGGATACTCATCACTACGAAAATTCTTACACCACCACTTCTGCGAAGTTTGTGTGAACTTTGCACATCCTTACGAAGTGGTACATCCTGTTTTAATTTTGTGACATTTTAAAGTCTTCAATGAAGGTGTGATTTTTGGCGATTTAATGATACCACCTAAACATTTTGCAGTTTATACTCCGATGGGTAATACATTTTATGAGTTTTTCCCAATTTATGCACCGTAGTCGTTAACTGGTTTGCGGCTAAAAAACGAACCATACAAAAATACCATTCCACCACCCCTGCAAACACTTTCCTTTTGATTACCTCGTTTCAGTTTTTATTAGTTAGAATTTTTTACACACTAAAATTTAAAAATAAATCTTGGACCGCTCAAACACGCACACATCGAAAATTAAACTATTTCGTTTAACCTGCAGTTTGTTGACCTCTTTAGCCTGGAATTTTCTAGTATTTTTTACATGTATCGTAAGTATCTATTACCAGAGATAACAGAGATATGACAGCTTTTGAATGCTCCATAAGAAATGCATGGGAGCGAAGTGAACACAGAATTTGACGTAAAGGACGGTTGGGGGCACAACATTTGTGGTGGTAAACCTGATATCTTAATATCTATGTTAAATGTTACTAAATATATATTACTAGTAAAAGTGACATAACGAACGAAAAACACGAACTCTGAGATAACCTCAATTAAATATGATGCGATGGTTTCAAATTATAAAAGAAAAGTCATGTTAACTGCATATGTATGTATGTATTTATTACAGTTACATACATTTTAACAAACAATATACTATTGGTAAGTACAGGAATAGTTCTATAAAAATAACATCGATAAGTAATGTAATGTACTCGTAATTTGTCATATTTTTCCATTAAACACTATTGCCTTTCTCTTCTTATAGGTGTTGGGTATTTTCCTTGTATTCATTAAAATATCGTCAAATGTGTTAGTTTTAGGCGTCTTGTTCCCTTCACCTCATTAACTAAGTATTATAAAAACTAGAAAAACCAAATGTAAACTAGAGCCGTTAAGAACGTCGCGCGAATGATATTCAGTCGCTGTATTTGTGGAAAACTACAAAATAAAGAAAAACCATCAGTAGTGCAAAGTGTAGATTAATTGTCCCTAGCCAACCCATTACATAAAAGTGGTGGCAGCGGTGCGATACCGAAAAAGTTTGGGATACGATCAGGGTTAATTATTGTGCTGACGAATTACCGACTGGTTGATTCGTTATTCGATCCGAAGGAAGCCGTGATCAACCCCCTGGAATCTTCGATTTGTATGGTGTTGGCCATGGAATCAAGCACCACACTACTGTAAGTGACTTTTGTTAATGGTCGAGACACGATCCAGAAAAAAGTGCGACGGTACTCCAGTGAACGAAAATAGTGTAAATAATTTAACACCGGAAGTTACCGAAATTCCCGAAAGCATAAGTGAAGAAAGTGCGCGTTCAAACCCAATAATGGCTCTCTCATTAGAAACCGCGGAAAGAATGTTAATTAAGTTTGATGGTACTCGGTCCTTACTGTATGAATTTATTGATAATTGTGATACGGCCCTAGAAAGTATAGATAACAATAAAAAAGAAATTTTATTCTCGATAATTAAAACTAAGTTAACAGGTAAAGCGAGAGAACTAACGCGAAGTAGGCAATTCACAACTTGGAATTCATTAAAAGATCATTTAATAGAAATTTATGCTGATAGGAGAACGCAGGCGCAATGGCAACTAGAATTAAACTCTTGTAAACAAAGATTCAATGAGGACGTTTCGTTATATGCAAGTAGAGTAGAAAATTGTTGCACTAAATTGATTAATTCGCTTAGTACCACCCTTACAGCTGATGCTCACAAGGCGTGCGTAGACCTTTTTAAAACTCAGGCATTAAATGTGTTCGTGGCCGGACTAAGCAAGGATCTAGCATTGTTAGTAAAGGCACAAAAACCAGATAGTTTAGAAGACGCAATTTCGATAGCAATTAATGAAGAACAAGAAATAAGATCTAAATTTGAAATCCAAAAATTTCGCTCTGGTTCACTTTCTGGTCAGTTTTGTAATTTTTGCCGAAAATCGGGACATTCTATAACTAATTGTCGGAATAAATTTAATAACCGTAACTTACACGTACATCATATGCAGGATACCACCAGAACATTTTCTAAATCACATTCGTCTAATAATACACTTAATCAATTTAATAATAATAATAATTTTAGTCAAGGTTCTGGATCAAAATTTTGTTATTATTGTAAAATTCCTGGACATATTAGTAGAAATTGTCGAAAAAAACAACGCGATGATAATCATAAAATACATAGTGATGGAACACGATATAGCCAATTTAATAATTGTAATCAGAATAATCGCAGCTATGGCAATAGTTCGAAATATGATAATCGAAATGGAAATAATTGTAGTACTAATGATAACACGAATAACAGCAATTTAAACTTCCCCGGTCCTTCAAGTTTACCGGCACCTCTGAAGGCTACACATATTCTGCAAGCCGGATCTCAACTATAAATCTTGCATCTACTTCATATGTTTCTTTAAAAATTGATCAATTATCAAACCCAAAAAATAAATTTCTTTTAGATTCAGGCGCTGATATTTCTCTCATTAAAGTATCTCAACTTAAAGGCGATACGGATTGCTATGTAGATAACATTATTACATTAAAAGGAATAGATCCAAACACAACTCTACATACTAAAACACTTTGTTATTGTTATTTCGATATTTATATCTATGGTCAGAAATTGACTCATATCTTTCATGTAGTACCTGATAACTTCCAAATTCCATTAGATGGTCTTCTTGGTAATGATTTCTTTCGAAGTTTCAATTGTGATATAAGTTATAAACAGAAAAAACTTTTTATTGGTAATACATTTTTGACAATTTTCCATATCGATGAAGATAACTCTAACAATTATTCACAAGGTTTTAAAGAAAATAGCTCTAGACAAGACAGTAGTAAAAATTTTGATCCTAATTCAAACACGCAAGTCAAGTTTCAGTTAGCTCCACGAACGGAGACAATTGTTAAAGTCAAAGCAATTAATAGTAATATCAAAGAAGGCATTTGCCCAAAGTTACAAATTTTAGATGGTGTTCATTTATGTCCTAGCGCTGTTAAGGTAAACAGAGATGGCGAATTTATAACTTCAATATTAAACATTACAGAAAAAATTATCGATGTAAAGAATATAGAAATTGTATTAGACCCAATCCCAGTAGAATCTTCAAACCTGAATGTTTCCAAAATACACTCAGATCAAAATTACAAATCGCAAAGGCTTGATAAAATTACGAGTTTATTGAGGACAGATCATTTGAATCCAGAAGAAAAAGAGTCTTTAACAAAACTATGTCTTGAATATAACCAGATTTTTCACGTAGAAGGTGACGTTTTGACCTGTACAGATTCTGTCGAGCATACAATACCGACTAATTCTCAAATACCCATACATACAGATTTCCAGAAATTCATAAAAATGAAGTAACGAAACAAATTGATCAAATGCGTGAGCAAGGTATTATATCACCGTCTAATTCCCCTTGGAATTCCCCAATATGGGTTGTGCCCAAAAAATTGGATGCCTCTGGAACTAAAAAATGGAGAATTGTAGTTGATTATAGGAAATTAAACGATATAACTATTGGAGATTTTTACCCACTACCTAACATTGTTGAAATTTTGGATCAACTAGGTAATTCAAAATATTTTTCAGTTATTGATCTCACATCTGGTTTTCACCAAATTAAAATGTCTCAAGACGATGCACCAAAAACTGCATTTTCGACATCCACTGGTCATTATCAATTTAATCGCATGCCTTTCGGTCTTAAAAACGCTCCAGCGACGTTTCAAAGATTGATGAATAACGTTTTAACAGGAATCCAAAACCACTGCTTTGTTTATCTTGACGATATAGTAGTTCACGGTAGCAACTTAGAAGAACACAATAAAAGATTAAGAGAAGTTTTTCAACGTTTATCAAACCATAACCTTAAGATTCAGCCAGATAAATGTGAATTTCTTAGGCGTGAAGTAGTTTACTTAGGTCATAAAATAACAGACAATGGCGTTTTACCAGATCCAGAAAAGATCAAATCAGTTTTACAATACCCTACCCCTAGGTCACCAAAAGATGTTAAAGGATTTCTTGGATTAGCCGGATATTACCGAAAATTTATTGCAAACTTTTCATCAATAGCGCAACCTCTAACAAAATTACTAAAGAAAAATTCTGAATTTAATTGGACCAGCGAACAGCAATTTGCTTTTGAAAATCTTAAAACGACCTTAAGTATGGAACCGCTTCTGCAGTTTCCAGATTTCGAACAAACGTTTTATTTAACAACCGACGCCAGTAATGTTGCAATAGGGTCAGTACTTTCGCAAGGTGAACCTCCAAATGATTTACCTATAGCATACGCTAGTCGAACTTTAAACAAGGCAGAGATGAACTATTCCACTACAGAGAAGGAACTTTTAGCTATTGTTTGGAGTGTCAAACATTTTCGCCCATACCTGTATGGCAGGAAGTTTAAAATCATAACTGATCATCGACCTCTAACATGGTTATTTAATGTAAAAGATCCTGGCTCACGTTTGATTCGGTGGAGACTGGCATTAGAAGAATATGAATATCAAATAATATATAAACCCGGAAAATTAAATAAAGTTGCCGATGCTTTAAGTAGAACCAACTCAGAAGATGCAAAAGAAAACACAAACAACGTAGAAATCAATCAGATCCAAACAAATACTATGAAAACTTATAACGATTTTTTAAGAAATTTACAATTCACTATAATTATAAATGATAATTTAGAAGAAATTAACGATAACCTAATTGATTCATCAGATAATATAGCACTATGCTTATCTAGCGACTTAGACGACAAAGACATGGTACAACAACAATTTAAAAAGAAATTTCCAGATCACCATTTATCTAATACTATTAAACGAGCAAAGTTTGTATATATATATATATATATGTAATGGGTTTCTCGAAAACGGCTCTAACGATTTCGATGAAATTTACAGGTTAGGGGTTTTTTGGGTCAAGAAATCGATTGATCATAGTTTTAACTTCTGAAAATTACAGCTTCATGCATTTTCAGCAATTTTCAGGCAGTGAATTATATTTGTTGCTAGGCAACATCAGATGACACTACACGAACACGAGATTGTTTTATATGAGAAGTTTGGGTGACAGTCTGACAGTACGTTTGACGTACCTTTTTATCTTCAATTGTACGTACCGAAACATGCTCCACTGTATAGAGGACGTTGAAATTCACCTCCTGAGGTGAGAAAATTTACCAAAAACTAAACAGTGAGCGGATAAAAGGCACACGAAAGTGTGTTGAATTGAGATTATTTTGTCAAGCATTCATTTCAGAGGTTCCACGGTCAGTGTCAACATGTGATCGTTTTCGGGGATGGGACCGTGTTATTTGAGTTTTTGGGCTGAACGTTTCGCACACTTTCGTAAATGGTATCTTCGGGAGCAGGGTTGAGATTGAGAAATTAGGAATAACACAAAAGAGCACGGTAACTCAGTATGTTAACCACACCAGAGGCGAAACTCTTCTGGCAGTAAGAATGTGGTTGTGACCTTTTTCTAGAGTCGAGAGAGAGAACTAGGAAAAAAAAAACGACAGAGAGAAAACTTGGGTAACAAATGAGATGTCAAACAATAATTCCAGTTTTCTGTTCTTTAATCTCTACATGTCACTTAGCAGTGTTTAAAACAAAGACTGCTTATGGAATTTCTTTTTTAATGTGTATTTTTAAGTAGCGCGTGTACTTCAAAATGCATACTATACGCATATTTATCTGTCCTAATCTGATCTAATACTACCAAACGAGCCGAGTGAAACTCGGTCAACCAGATATTATTACTTGAACAAGATTTAAATCCCCCTAAAATTATTAAAGTAAGCGAAAAAACAAAAAGGTTTTATTATTTAATCAATAAACAGTATCACTGGGAAACGACTTCATATGAAAAATTGTTTGATATTCTACTGCAACTAAAAGCTGAATTACTCAACGATAAAATTGAAAGTATTAGCATTCCAAAATTAAGTACCTCTTTTGACAATTTACACTGGAAAAAGATTCGTTCAATGATTAGATATATTTTCCACGGTACAAACATAAAAATCAAGGTTTATCATAATGATTTGAACATACCTACTACTCAAGATGAAATTAATAGAATTCTCATTGAAAATCATTCCAATCCCGTGTCAGGACATTCAGGCTATCACAGAACGTATAATAGAATCAAACAGAATTATAAATGGACTGGTATGAAAAACGATATTAGAAAATTTCTAAGAACTTGTGAATCCTGTCAAAAAAATAAGTTAGTACGCAAAAAACATAAAGAATCAATGGTGATAACGACCACTAGTCAAACTCCATTTGAGAAAATCTTTCTAGACATCGTCGGACCATTACCTATAAGTGAAAAGGGTAACAGGTTCATTCTCACCCTACAAGATGACTTAACCAAATATTCACAAGCTTATGCCATCACGAGTCATGAAGCTGAAACTATTGCTGAAATTTTAGTACGTGCATTTATTTGTAAATTTGGCATTCCGTCTATAATAGTAACAGATCAAGGTCGTGAATTTACTTCTAATCTTCTAAAACAAGTAGCCAAATTGTTTAAGATAAAACAGATAAACTGTTCTGCATATCACCCCCAGAGCAATGGAGCTCTAGAACGGAGTCATCATACCTTAGCCGACTATCTAAAACACTATATTAACAAAGATCAAACAGATTGGGATTCATGGATAGATTTTGCTATGTTTTCTTACAACACTACAGTTCATTCAAGCACGAAGTTTACTCCTTTTGAACTGATCTTTGGTAATAAGGCAAATTTACCCTCAAATATCACAAAAAACCCCGATTTTAAATACACATACGATGACTATATTGATAACCTAACTCTAAAATTACAAAAATCTCAAGAAATCGCTAGAAACCACATCCTTGATTCTAAAGAGCGCAACAAACAATACTATGATAAACGGTGTAATAAACAAAAATTTCAAATCGGTGATAAAGTTTTTCTTTTAAACGAACACTCGAAGCCCGGTACTTCTAAAAAGCTTACCCGTAACTACAAAGGTCCTTATGAAATTGTCGACATACAGTCACCCGTTAATTACACTATTCTTGTTAAAAACAAAAAACAAAAAGTACATAGTAATAACTTAAAATTAGCTCATTTTTAATAACGATATTTTTCCAGACGATTGGCCACTTGGTTCCTAGTCGTCACCTTCAGTTCAAACCAGTACGTCAATACCCCGATAAAAGATTTTTCTGGAATTTACTATGAACATCAAAAAACTATCCACTTCATCGAAAGATATTGGAATGTGATTTCATACTTTGATTTAGGATCAGTTAATAAGCATCTAAGCATTATCCGTGATTATTATAAACAAACCAGCGACCTATGTAACAAACGAATGAAAACTAGCTGCGAAATCCCCTCGCAAACTGTAAATAGTATTATTCCCCATCTTGAGAACTCAGAAAAGGATTTAATAACAATCATAAATAATAAACGAGCAAAAAGGGCATGGTTTAACGCAGTAGGCAGTCTATTTAAAACAGTTTTCGGAACTCTCGACGAGGAAGACGCAAGGTATTATAAGGAGGCCATTGCAAAGGTACGAGAATCAAACAAAAATTTATTATATCTTGCTGAAGAACAGATACAAATTGTAAATTCAACTATCGATAATTTTAATAAAACAACGATCACTCTTAACAATAACCTTCTTCTTTTAGAAAATACTTTTGAAAAATTTACAAATTCTGTTAGTGATAGGGCAAATACAGAACAATTAAGACAAATCATTGATGAACATTTTCAAATGTTAACTATATTAATAAATCAAGTTCAAAGCGAAATCAATACACTAACAAATACGATTCTATTCGCCAAGCGTAATTTATTGCATCCTTTTGTTATTAGTCCTTATCAGCTAATTGACGAATTAACCAAATCCACATCTCATTTGCCAACCTCAACACAATTTCCCTTACCTCTCACTTACGATGAGGCCCACAAATATTTGGATATAATTCAAATAAAAACGTTCTTTTCAGACAATCATATCGGCTATATAATTACCTTACCATTAGTTAATGTTGATCAATATTTTTTATATAACCTTGTTCCGTTGCCAGTAAAAAATAAAATCACATCTGCATATCAGTTTGTGTTGCCAAAATTTAATTATCTAGCATTTTCAATAAATCGATACACCTATTCTACTATGAACGATTTAAATCAATGCACTGAACTGGGTGAACTATTAATGATTTGTCAAAGATCTGAACCTTTGTACTATACTCAATCGCGGCCTATTTGTGAAGTCGAGCTATTTAAACATTTGAACCAAATACCTACAACATGTGATGTACGCGTAATAACAACAAATTTAGAAGTATGGCATAAATTAGCAACTACTAACAGTTGGATTTATGTGGTACCGCCAGATAGCGCAGCAACGATTGACTGTCTTAACATGACACCCAGAATTATAACATTAGAAAATACAGGAATTCTTACATTATCACAAAATTGTAAATTATATACATCCCATGCCAATATAATTTCAGCAAAGAGTAGTCCAGAAAGTCCACACACACATATAATACCCAGGTTAGAAATCCAAAATATAACCTTTTTTAATACAAAGCTAGCTGAAACATTTCCTCAAACACCAATAAGTTTAACTGCATTGAACAAAGAAAGTTTAAATCTGGTTAGCCATAAATTAAATTTACTCAAACAAAAAACTGATAAGTTAATTGAAGATAATTCTCTAATACCAAATGTACCAAATACCGTGACATATACTGTTATAATAATAATTAAATTAATGATTTTAATTGTTACAATTAGGTTTATTTACTATTGTTATTATAAGTATGTTAAGAAACAAAATATTAATTTCTGTCCTTTTCAAATGTGTCAGCGTAACAGTCAACAGACTGTTCCGCCAGTTGAAGTAAGATACTACCCTGTATCTGATAGTATGGTAAATTCACCTGATCAGATTCCTGAATCAGTTTCAATGTATCCGCAGTTGTCAACTAAAGATGAAAAACCATTAAATTCTATTGTTAATTGTAAAGCAAAATTAATAGCCTAAGTAGCTATTAATTTTGTTGTTATGGGGGAAGGTGTAATGTACTCGTAATTTGTCATATTTTTCCATTAAACACTATTGCCTTTCTCTTCTTATAGGTGTTGGGTATTTTCCTTGTATTCATTAAAATATCGTCAAATGTGTTAGTTTTAGGCGTCTTGTTCCCTTCACCTCATTAACTAAGTATTATAAAAACTAGAAAAACCAAATGTAAACTAGAGCCGTTAAGAACGTCGCGCGAATGATATTCAGTCGCTGTATTTGTGGAAAACTACAAAATAAAGAAAAACCATCAGTAGTGCAAAGTGTAGATTAATTGTCCCTAGCCAACCCATTACAGTAAACCGATGATTTTCTGCAGCTATAATTAATTATTAATCGATGAAACTGGCAAATGCTCTATAAATGGGACAAAATGATTAATTTACTCTGTTTTTTAGGTTGCTTCTGTAGTTCCCTATTATGGAATTTCAATGTATAAAATATACGTAATCGCACAAATAATGACAAAAGGTAATCAAGGGGGAGATTACTACATGGATGCTATTAAGGCCAGCTGGTTTTTAAGTTGTCTGGGAACTTGAAGCGAAAGTGTATTATCTACTGAAGGCATTTTCTAATTGTTCAATGTAATATGCAAACTGTTCATACGAAACATTAAGATTGCCATAAGATAAAGTTTCAGAATTGTGGGCTTGGAAACGACAATAATGTAGTTCTAGAATTTCTGCCACATGCATTTGTATATTCACAGCATATCTGAGAAGAGTGTTTTAAGCATGCATCCACTGAGTATCCACATATTTATCGTAAGATATTTTGTTCAGCTAAATCAAACTCTTTGTACTCTATCCTATCTATTTTTAGGGCATTATGAGATGGTTGGGAATTATTAATTATGGTGGGGATGTTGTACCTCTCACTTAAATTGGAGATATCTTCATTAGCAGATAAGAATTGTGGTGTGATCAGATGATTAAAAGAGGACTTGCGTTTGTGGTGTATTTATTTTTAATGTTGTCGGTTCAGTAGATAAGGGAAAAGTGAAGAGTGTTGTCTGTGATTTTGAAAATGAAAAGACAGGTCGGTAGAGAGCGGCGAAACGGTTGTGTCGAAAGGGTTCTTAGAAGGTACTCGAAATCTTCGAAGGATAAGAATTATTGGGAAGGGCGAACAAAAGATAGGTTTTACGACATGCAGGTGTACGAAGAGAAAGTTTCAGGATGATAGTGGTTGGAAGTCAATAAATACAGACTATACAAATATTACATGTTGCACAATTTTGTGGGATTTGTTAGCCCCCACAAAATGTTGCTAAATCAAAAGCACAATTACCAGTTGGGTTGTGCTGCATATATTTTATACAGAACAATAGCTTGTATTTGGTTATATTCTAATGAAGTGTGATGTAAATAACTAATAATAATATGAGGATAAAAATAATTTTATTAACACCCGCACAGAACTAAAAGTGACTAAAGTCATCTTCGCAATGAAAAGGTAACATTCAATATTATAACTGTATTTGTACCCCTTAAAGTGTCGTCCTTGAATTTCAACGTTAGGTTGTAATAACAATCTTTGAATGAGCTAGAGGGTACTTTTATTATTATCCTCGCTATAAAATTGTACAGTTTGTGTTGTGTATGCACATTTTAGAGTTTTAAAGGATAAGAAAAGTTAATACAAGCATTTTGAGTAATTTAATGTTTTTTTTTATCCATTTACTATTAATCAGGATGTAAACATTACAAAAGCACCAACAAATGTTAGATATAATACAATCATTTTTCGAATAAACTTAATGGTTGTATTTTTTTTAATCTTGACTTTTTCCATTTATGAGCAACCTAGTATTTTTGGAAGAAAGATTAACCACTTTTGGTATATTCTTACGATTGGAAATATCCCTGGTAATCAAATAGCCGCGCTACGAAAGTTTCACTCAAATTTAAATAGCGCGCCCGAAAGTGACGGTTTGGGGCACAGTACATAAGGACTATTGTCGCTTAATTTTGCGAGCTGTCATATCTCTATTATCTCTGCTATTACTTTGTTAAAATAAATTTTACGTTTGTTTTTAACCTCATAACCCAACATCCCGTATGATCCCGTAATTAATATGACATTTCTTGTTGACAAAACCAGACAAAACGTTCACCGAAAACCTTAAAATGAAAAAGAAACTATGTTCTTCAAGGTCGGAGCACCTTTAGTGACGCTAGTGACCTCTTTATGTCGTTCCGTAAGCTCCCCATGTATTTCTTATGGAATCAGCTGAGACTTTCATAGCCCTATGAGGTTAAAAACAAACGTAAAATTTATTTTAACAAAGTAATAGATACTTACGATACATGTAAAAAATACTAGAAAATTCCAGGCTAAAGAGGTCAACAAACTGCAGGTTAAACGAAATAGTTTAATTTTCGATGTGTGCGTGTTTGAGCGGTCCAAGATTTATTTTTAAATTTTAGTGTGTAAAAAATTCCAACTAATAAAAACTGAAACGAGGTAATCAAGAGGAAAGTCTTTGCAGGGGTGGTGGAATGGTATTTTTGTATGGTTCGTTTTTTAGCCGCAAACCAGTTAACGACTACGGTGCATAAATTGGGAAAAACTCATAAAATGTATTACCCATCGGAGTATAAACTACAAAATGTTTAGGTGGTATCATTAAATCCCCAAAAATCACATCTTCATTGAAGACTTTAAAATGTCACACAATTAAAACAGGATGTACCACTTCGTAAGAATGTGCAAAGTTCACAACAAACTTCGCAGAAGTGGTGATGTAAGAATTTTCGTATTAATGAGTATCCACAAACATACCATAAACAGTTGTGTTCTTTCAAGGTGAGTTTCCGGTAACTCACATCACTTAATGATTGTTGAAGAGGCTGGAATACAGAGGAGATGTGTTGTGGAAGTTTGTTTAAAAGAACACCTTAGCAAATTTTTCATTTCAAATAAAATAGTGTTTCACAGTTGGTTCTTGCACTCGTATCGAAATAATCTGTAGTAAATAGTTTCCGAAACACACTTTGGAATTGTGTTGGTGTGGGATTTATACAATTCCCAAATTGACGTCTCACAGAGCCAAACAAATATGTCAAACAATACTGATTTAGTTGCAGCAACCTTTTAGTGAAAATTGTAAACAAATTGTATTCTGTGAAAACTATTAAAAATAATAAGCAAAATGTTTATGTTCCTGCTGAGGTTGTTTTTTATTTTTTTGTGAGTGATTTAAAAATATTAAGAGTGAAATAAAAATTTTGCAATTCACTTGTGGATAACAACTTATTTGTCAGACTTGTTAAGGATTTAATAAACGCAGTTTAAAACATCAAAATTGAATAAAAATGTTTTGCTTGAATATATTAATAATAATTTATAAGAAAGAAAAAAATGGCCAATTGGCTAATGTCACTAGTACATGCCACCCATTTTTATTTTTGTGTACAATTATTAGTATTATATGAATCACATACGAATGCTACGAAATATTTGAATCTTCGTGTTTCCCGGGAACGGGCTCCCAAGGTCACACCCGTTCCGCAAATATTGCTGAAGTTTCGTTACTGATCTACTGTGACAACGTTGTTTTTAATTTGCGATATTTCTTTAACACAAGCTTTTTATATAGTTAAACCTTTAGTAACAGGAAGATAATTGTACAGTCTTTATCGCTTGTAGCATGAACTAGTTAAGATTTCTACCTGTGCGGTGTATTTTGTCTGTAAAATCAAGCTCCCATAAGAAACCCATAGTAGAATTTTTGAATTATGAACTGCCGCGCATTCTAAATTCTAACCTTACTTTACTGGTCAATTATGTCCGCAGTTACACAGCTTAAAAAAAAAAGTTACCAAATCTAGTTACATCTACCGAACTTATATACAAGCATTGGAGATCGTGTTCTATAGTGAGGGTATTCTATGACAATACTCTAAAATATTTAGACTCTAAATTCATATCCATGACAATGATATTTTTTGTAAACGCTAATCTTTAATCAGAAATTTTGGACAGGACCATGATACAAGCTCGAATACAGAGAAGCGCCATAGTTTAAATTAAATGACGGTTGAGGACTCCGAAATTTATGTTGGCAGCAGTGTTTGGTTCTAACTAGGAATAAAATTAACTAGAAGAAATGTCACAATATTTTTAACGACGCGTTTTACTTTCGACAAATTGACACTAGATTTACCAGAATATTACAAGCTGCTTACTGTTTCCTTCATTTTCATTCAAGTCATACGAATTACAATTATAGTGAACCAAGGTTTTTATTGGCATCGACTATTTAAATTTGGCGCTTGCCTTTGGCGGTTGAGGACTCCAATGTCAATGAGGGTGGTTTTGCAAAATCAGCCTCTATGTCGCTTCTCTATGTTCTCTGATACAAGTAAATATGGTATGGACATACGCAGGTTTGCTGACGTCACCTGGTTGTATTCAGGCGGGAAATTGAAATATTTACCGAGCCCAACTAAAGTCACTAGATCTACTATTACTTTTAGAAAGTACGGCCACAGTATATCATACAGTAAAGACAGCTCGTCAAATATTGGAACAACGTGTCCTTACCCAACCGTTTTGATTAGGCGGGATTTTTGAAACGAAGTGGAATATTGGTTGCCTAAATTACAAATAGAGTTCGTCCGTAAAACAATGTAAAAGGAACTGATATAAACATCGAATGAACTGAAACCAATTTTTGGAGTGTGGTATGAAGACTACGAAAAAAATACCATTTTGAACAATAAAAAAGAATTGTGCTTATATTTATTTTATTCATAAATAAAAGTCTATCACTTTACCGAGTTAATTTCAACATAAACATATCAATTACCTATTTTGTCAATGCCTTCAATTTTCGCCAAGTGTGAACCGTTTGAAGAGTCAGAAAGTGAACGCTGTTGTTTTGATCTTCCTTGGGAAAAGTATTTTGATGTTTTTGGTTGAATTTTTGTTGTAAGTTAAATTAGTGAAGTGATTCTGAGAACCTTTTCATAGTAACATGGACTACAGTGGTAGACCACCTCGTGATTGCAGGCACAATGAAAAAATCTGCTTCAGGGGCTTCTTTAAATTTCCCTTGGAATCTGTAAGATAAGAAATATAAAGAAGTATATTATTCTATAATCAATAAAAAACTATTTGGTATGCAATTTTTACAGCACAGTGAAAATTCCAATAGTTGTAATGATTTAGGATCTATTTTACTCGCAATTGAATCTAAAGAAAGTAACCAGTGTCAAATTATTAATAGAGTTTTAAGCTGAACAACTTTTGCACATAAATCTGTGGAAGTAAATACGACAGACTACAGACATCTGGACATGGGGAAACAAAATTCTTTAAGTTATGTCTGTGGATACTTAATGAAGAAATGCTTGATGAAATATACCTGTGAAACATGTAGTTATTTTGCCGTTGCATGTAATGTCATCATATATGATAAACTTCTCTGTCACTTCAACGCCTTTGATGATGATCCACCATTTTGGTAATCCTAAAGCTGGCCATTCACGTTCCTACGTCCCAGTACGATTGTAGTGGATGCAACTGTTGTACAATTCTGTTAAAAAGCAGCAGTACACACACGTTACGACCTTGCAGTTAAAAATTTGCGATCGTGATGACAACATGTCCGACAAAATGACGAAAATGTACTTTTATAGCTGCTCTCACGGTTTGAATAACATACACTGTCGAGTCATGTCCACACATGATCAAATTTCCATCCAATTCAAAACGATTGTACTGCTGCAGACAGACTTGTTCACCGACCGTCCACATCCAACCGATTTGCTTGATCTCATACACAGACGTTCAAAAACACTTCAATTTGGTCATATCCAACACAATTGTTCTGCGGCGTTGAAACGTGAGTGGCGGGCTTAAGATGCTACATGAAGCATTCACCTTTTATGTTGCAGCCCTAGAAAAACGATTTGCTTCACTATTTTCTACCAACTCAATTTTACCTTCATGTGGCCGATATATAAAAGCAGTCCTCGTAACTGTGTCCAGACCAGCATACGGCACCCCTGTGCCTTGTGTACAGTTTCCACAAGATTATTTATTCTATTTATTTGTTCGAACGCGCATTTTCTATTCAGTAAAAATAATAAATCACAGTTACAATATTAAATGCCAAACACCTAAAATGTCAAATTTGACGCACAATGTTGACATGGTGGTAAATTTTATTTAGTAACAAGGTTTGCCACTACAGTTTCAAGCCAAAATTCAAGGTCATGTCCTTACCCAACGGTCGATTATTGTTGTTCTGGTCCGTTACGTGTATTTCTTATGGGGCTTTCAAAAGCTGTCATTACTGTATGATATTCTGTGGTACGGCAAACTGCCTGTGGTCGGAATTCGACAGAGAGGAACCTAACCTATGTGTTAAACAAAGATAGCGCGAGGCTAGTAATTTTCGCTATCTGTCAACGAAAGGTTGATGTGTTTACGATTTGAGGTTACGACAGACTGTACTAGAATTATTGAGTTAACGGACCGGAAAGAACACTATTCCAGTCCCAAAGTAACTCCAGCCCTATTCAACGAGAAAGTGTCACCGGTAACCAGCAAACAGTCGTGGAAGACGTGTTACCACCAAGGCAATTGACGGCCAAATGACAGTAACAGGATCGCCATACTGGAAGCAAAAAATACCTGCTGTCGAAAAGACGGAGCATAACAAGGACACAGATATTTTCTTATTATTTGCTATCATCCCCGCTATTTTTTTAACAACGCTAGGTCGCTAGCAAACACCAATTTGTTTTTACGCATCAGTTTGGTAACAATAAACAATAACCCTCATAACCACAAAAACTCATAACTGCCTCATAACCCTTAAAATTGATATTTGACATCAGATGTCAACACAGAAGTGGAAGGTCATTCATTCCACATGACGTCAGATAACGTTGCGCAGAAGAAGACGAGTTTTGGTTCATGGGATGTCCATACCATCATGGACAGGACCGTCTCTAAAAATTTCTAAAATTTATAAAAAGATGAAATCAATAAATATCGAAATTTTACTAAGGTAACACAAGCTAAATCGCTCTAAAACAAGGCATAAAACTGCGTCTCCATGGAATGTCTCAACTTAACGAACACCTGTATAGATTACGTAGTTTGATGTAATATTGGTTGTATACTTCCAATACATTGACAGTATCTTTTTTTTTTCAGATTGAACATATGTCTACATTTATGGTGTTGAGTAGTTAAATGTCAGGTAATGATAAAAGCCATACGAAAAAATAAATACATAACGATTAACAGATAATTTTATTCACGAACACTTTACACATTACAATAATTAATCAGAATGTAAACACTACAAAGGTACCAAAAAATGTTAAAGATAATACAATTTTTTTTCGAATAAACTTAATGATTGTTATTTTTTAATCTTGTCTTCTTCCATTTATGAAGAACTTTGTATTTTCGGAAGAAAGATTAACCACTTTTGGCATGTTGTTAAAATTGGTTTTTATTAGGCGGGATTTTTGAAACGAAGTGGAATATTGGTTGCCTAAATTACAAATACAGCCACAGTATAGACATCAATCAGTAGGGATAACTCGTGTCGGCGCCTTTGATATTTCTGACCTGAATTTTAAGCCGTAATCGGTGGTCGTTTCCCAAAATATTTCTAGATGTCGCCCCCCAATTTAAAAAGGATCACAAACGCTTCATTTTAAAATTGATTCGTGTAAACAATTTACTACACTTTGTGCAAATGAATTTTTGGAAAAGAATTAAAAATAGTGTAATAACAATAACATTTTGTAACTAGTTGATCTTAGAAACCACACAGTCTATTATAATAAATAATTAATTAAGCGCCCTATAACAGAGATGCCATGTTGAAATTTAGATGTGGCCCGCTTCTCTGATTACGATTTTACGTTTCATTAATTTCTTTTCCATGATGGCTGTAAATGGTTGTAAAATTCAACGTTACTAGAAAACGCTAATATACATATGCACATTTAATTTTTTTTACAAAAAAATCAAACAGTAAACAATGGTCCTATGAAAACGAGAATAACGCTTTTTAAAACGTCTCTGTGAAAATTACATTTAACTGCAATAATTACACAGAACATCAGCCTTATATCATCAAAACCAACGCAACTAAACTGCCAAATGTCAAATGTTTCATATTAAAGTCACTAGATAACCAAAGTACCGCAGTTCCAATGTGTAAGAAAGATAAATACCTTGCGTTGCGCGCCCTCATACGGTCACAAGACAAACGACCACCCATGAAAACGAGTCAGTAAAAATAGCGAGTTGTCCCTACTGATTGATATCTATACTGTGATACAGCTCGTCCGTAAGACAACGTTAAACAAACTGATATAAACTTTGGACGAATATTAAGAAACTGAAACCAATATTTGAAGTGTGGTATGAAGTTCATGAAGAAAATACCATTTTGAACAATAAAAAAAAAGAATTGTGCTTATATTCACTTTACCAAGTTATTTCAACATTAAGATATCTACTATTTTGTCAATGCCTTCAATTTTCGCCAAGTGTGAACCGTTTGAAGAGTCAGAAAATGAACGCTGTTGTTTTCATCTTCCCTGGGAAAAGTACTTTGATGTTTTTGGTTAAATATTTGTTGTTAGCGAAATTAATGAAGTAATTGTGAGAACCTTTTCATAGTAAGATGAACATCAGTGGTAGACCACCTCGTGATTGCAGGCACAATGAAAAAACCTGCTTCAGCGGCTTCTTTAAAATTCCCTTGGAACCTGTAAATATAAAGAATTATATTATTCTATAATCAATACAAAATTATTTGGAATGCAATTTTTACAGTACAGTGCACGGTGTATCAGTGGCGTAACTACCGGTGTTCCACGTGTTCGGCGGAACACGGGCCCGCTGCTTCAAGGGGCCCGGTCCGGTCACACGAACATTTTTTTATTAGATTTTTTTTATATTATTGCCCAAATTACATCCTGAAATAAAAAATTCGAAAATGTGCGGTAATCCCAGGATCGATGGTTGATTGCTATTTACGAATTTTTTGCTGCAAAGGGCGGCATCTCAATATTATAGACTCAATAAACTCGGGTTTTAGCGACCGGCACCGGCGGTCGAAAATGCAGCAGCATCTGCTTGTAATAAACCTGTCGCAGTGTCGCAATCCCATTGTAGCAAATCTAACACCCCATGTAGTAAATTACCAATCTTTATCCGACAAAAGTATGACTAATTTATGATGCAAGACAACAAAATACTTAAATTTTGTCCTCAGTTCTACAGTGAAACTTCATGCTGTAATAAAACGTGAAAAAAAAAAACAGTTTCAGTTGTGTTTTATGAAAATTTTCGTATTTTCAAAACTATTTTAATTTTGTACTTGTGGTGTTTTTTTGGAATAATAAAATATATCTGACGTATGTTACAACTAATTTTTTAAGTAGAAAAAAAAACTGGACTGGGAAATTATTACAGAATGACCTACCTGTACTTGTGCCGCTGAAATTATCACAGCATGTTTCACTTTTCTTACAATACCTCTTTCGGTGGTTTCAGCGGAAAGATCTTTTTCGAAATTAAAAATGACTAAAAATTTTTTAAGAAATAATGAGCCAATGCAGATTATCTTCATTGAATCTCTCAAATGGAAATCAAATTGTTAGAAGCTTAGATGTATCAAATTTTGTATCAACTTGTGCCCATTGAAAAGCAAGAAGAAAACAATTTTGAGATAAAAAAAAATTGGCATTTTATCTATACTTCTATACTTACTTATATTATAAAGTTGAAGAGTTTGTTTGGTTGAACGCGCCAATCTCAGAAACTACTGGTTTGAATTCAAAAAGTCTTTTTGTGTTAGAAAGTCCGTTTATCGAGGAAGGTTATAGGCTATATAACATCACCCTATGATTAATAGGAGCGGAGCAGCAATGAAAAATATCGGAAAAACGGGAAAATTATTCGTCCTTTGACAGCTTCCGTTGCTTACGCTGCTTATTAAACGGTTAAAGTTACATAAAAATCATGTATGATGGAATTGTTCCCTTCTAAAAGTTCTAAAAAAAAGTCCGCGACAGCATACGTCAATCTTTTAAGGTCGACTCAGTATAACCTTTTTTATGGTAATGAATTTTTTTCTAAAATAATCTAATATAAAATTCTGGTGTCACAGTGTTTGTAACCAATCTCCTCCGAAACGCCTTGACCGATTTTTATGAAATTTTTTGTGTATATTCGGTAGGTCTAGTAAACTATTTTTTAAAGCCCTAAGTGATAAGGGTGACCCACCAAACGTTTTTTATTTTTTAGACATTTTCTATTTTTATTTTTTTAAGATTTGGCATCAAAAAATACATATAACCCTAAATTTTGACCCTTCTACCACCAACCCCCATTTTTTAATAACGATATGAGTATCTTTGCTTTCATCCACAGATGCGCAATAGGGTTGCAAGATGGCCATTGAATATAATCATTGTCGTACGATAAATTTTTATGTATTTATTTTAATTAATAATGTACCAAAATATTCACTAGAAATGCCAAAACAACGTTTGGCGGGTCGGCTAGTTTCTAATATTGTATATATTTTAATTATATGTCTTCAGGTAATTATTGTATTTTATTTTTTTAATTCAATGTTTCAGGTAGAATGATTTTAATAAAACGTTAGCGCTAATTGCAATCTACTCATTCTTTACTCATTATACTCGTATTGTTAAATATTTTTATTTCGCTGTTCATTAGGGGCCCCACAGTGTTGTAGAACACAGGCCCGCAGTTTGATTGTTACGCCACTGCGGTGTATAATAAGTTAGGTGTTAGAAGCAACTTTCAACACAAAAGGGTACAGGTGGTGGGAGTGCGCAGAACATTGTTTTGGTTTGGCCTTACAAATATCGTGCAAGCAGTGGCAGCGGCGATGAATATTTCGATTTTGAAATATTAAAATATTATTGCGGTTAATAAAAATATCACTTTTCTATTTTATTAGCGTTGACATTATAGAAAAAGAATTTAAACAATTATTAGTGCTGTATTTGATGTATGAGTTGAATAAAAAAGTAAGTAAAAGAAGTAAAAAGGTAATTTTTAGTGAGCAATAATTACTGTTAAATTACGGTACAGTCGAAGCTCTAGTTATAAACGACAATTGACCCTTTTCCTGTAAGATCGTAAAACTTCCATAGTGACTTTTCGTGCGCACGCATCTTCAAAACCACGTTGGAAATTGTATCCGGCACTCCGGCAGCAGAGCAAAGGCCTGTGACAACAAACCGCTTTGACAGAATGCAACCGGCTACACATGCGTAATCTGTCGCTCATTGGTTAATTTAAACTTGGCGCTCCAAAAATCTGACTTCGCCTGCGCGATGTTGTCTCACTCTGTGTCATTGGAATTTATATAATGTCTACTCACTTTGCTTACAGGAAAAGGGTCAATTATGCTAGAATACGAACTGCGATTATTACTTCAATGTTAAAGACAGAAAACGTTAAGCCTTATTATAATCCGACTTTACGGTATCGATAAATTGTGCCAGAAAATTAAAAACCATATAATTATAGTCATAGGTTGCTTATTCTCAGAGTTTTAAGCCCGCTTTTATCTAAAGATTTAACTGTTGCTTTAAGACTAGTCGACTATAAAATAGTATATGATACTGGTTTATAATGAGGGATTCGTGAAATTTTTTACTCATGCTATAATCCCTCACATTATAAACTCGTTTAATAATTAAAAATACCAAATTTTGTGTGATAGATTATCATAATTTATTGTTACGTAAGTCTATTTTTTTACCAAACAAATAAATTTATTTTTATTAAATGGTTGTCTGTATTCTTTTGTGGAAATTGCTCTATTTTTAATTGTTTTTGAAAGAAATGTAACTCAGCCGAAACTCCCTTCTCAATACATCGATGTTACGCCACTGCTAGCCCGACTACAAGTCGCGCATCTTAAGCCCCGCCCCTGTACCTTTTCGTGTTGAAAGCTGCTCTACGACGAAGCGTATTCACCGTGCATCGACTTGACGTCGGTTTACTCACGAGCAGCGATCGAGAGAGACAGACAGCGGCGGCCTGTAACCTCTCACTTAGATCTGTTTAGCAGCGTTTGGCGGGCTTTTTCCCTTTGTAGGTGTGACCATGATACAAGTAAATATGGTATGAACATACGCAGGTTTGCTGACGTCACCTGGCTGTATTCAGGCGGGAAATTGAAATATTTACCGAGCCCAACTAAAGTCACTAGATCTACTATTACTTTTAGAAAGTACGGCAAACTGCCTGTGGTCGGAATTCGACAGAGAGGAACCTAACCTATGTGTTAAACAAAGATAGCGCGAGGCTAGTAATTTTCGCTATCTGTCAACGAAAGGTTGATGTGTTTACGATTTGAGGTTACGACAGACTGTACTAGAATTATTGAGTTAACGGACCGGAAAGAACACTATTCCAGTCCCAAAGTAACTCCAGCCCTATTCAACGAGAAAGTGTCACCGGTAACCAGCAAACAGTCGTGGAAGACGTGTTACCACCAAGGCAATTGACGGCCAAATGACAGTAACAGGATCGCCATACTGGAAGCAAAAAATACCTGCTGTCGAAAAGACGGAGCATAACAAGGACACAGATATTTTCTTATTATTTGCTATCATCCCCGCTATTTTTTTAACAACGCTAGGTCGCTAGCAAACCACCAATTTGTTTTTACGCATCAGTTTGGTAACAATAAACAATAACCCTCATAACCACAAAAACTCATAACTGCCTCATAACCCTTAAAATTGATATTTGACATCAGATGTCAATACAGAAGTGGAAGGTCATTCATTCCACATGACGTCAGATAACGTTGCGCAGAAGAAGACGAGTTTTGGTTCATGGGATGTCCATACCATATTTACTTGTATCATGGGTGTGACCGATTTTGCTAGGTTTTCTCTGCGATTTCTTACTTGTTTTTTTGATTTATCAATTAAAATGGGTAGAAAATGTGTTGTGCCTAATTGTTCTAGCGGATACAATGGTAATCCCGAAAAAGTGTCGGTGTTTCGGGTACCTAAAGACAGATTACTGGAATGGCACTTTTATTGCAGTAGTGAACTGCTGCTTTTGAACAACACTTTGCACTAAAAAATACTGGTCGTCGCTATAGTAATAGTAGGCATTTTATGTTGAATTTTATTTTTACTTAAAACAATTACTTTCTTTTTATCGGTTATGTGTTATGTTTTAACATTCAATAAATAGAATTTATGTTTATTTTCAGAGGGTTTTTGAATGCGAGATGTAATTTTTCTTTATTCCACAGAAACTATATTTTTTGCAAAGATTTTTCGGCACAATTCGATAAGCAGGTTGTGCCAATGAACATCCCACATTTATAACTTTTTTGCAGCTATACCCAATGTTATCGGTTTATAAATTATTTTTTTCACTAGCAGCCTGGACGCATGCAAATGTCGACTCATTTAGTGGTAGCAAATTCAACTTTTGCTACCACCGGTTCAAAAAGAAAAATTGAGGTTATGTACGCAATGTTTGATGTGATTATTTCTTAAAAAATGAACAAATGTGTGCTACAAACATTACTTGAGTATACGCATGGTAGTTGGTAGTTGGTAGACGGTAGAAGATAAAATGATTAAGTCAGCGACAAGTATAAACGGTTTCCTTTGTGTTGAAGATTTAGATTAAGTTTGATTAGAAATCAAAACAAAATCATGTTGCGTCAAAAAATTGAACGTTTATTTTTCAGTTTATTGTCTTATGGTTTCTACTAGTGAAAAAAATAGTATATTAACCACGGTTGCAAAGCCACTTCTAGACCTCGCACTTAGAGCCCTCGACGCTGCGCGTCTCGGGTTCTAATTTGCGCTCGGTCTAGAATGCTTGGCTCTGCAACCTTGGCTAATAATATACTATTTTTCACTAGCAGCCATGACCCATGCAAATGTCGACTCATTTAGAGGTAGCAAATACAACTTTTGCGACCACCGGTTCAAAAAGAAAAATTGAGGTTATGTACGCAATGTTTGATGTGATTATTTCTTAAAAAATGAACAAATGTGTGCTACAAACATTACTTGAGTATACGCACGGTAGTTGGTCGACGGTAGAAGATAAAATGATTAACTCAGCGACAAGTATAAACGGTTTTCTTTGTGTTGAAGATTTAGATTAAGTTTGATTAGAAATCAAAACAAAATCATGTTGCGTCAAAAAATTGAACGTTTATTTTTTCAGTTTATTGTCTTATGGGTTCTACTAGTGAAAAAAATAGTATATTAACCACGGTTGCAAAGCCACTTCTAGACCTCGCGCTTCAGAGCCCTCGACGCTGCGCGTCTCGGGTTCTAATTTGCGCTCGGTCTAGAATGCTTGGCTCTGCAACCTTGGCTAATAATATACTAAAAACCTCCGAAATTTGGCAATTGCACACAGATGCAGGAAAATAGTAACGCAAATCATTCGTTATCATTTAATGACATCAAAAATATTTTTGAAACAAATCCAGAATGCGGGAAAAATCATGTTGAGAAAATAAAAAGGAAAATAGAATAGGTATATATATTTTATATACAGATTCACCGATTAACGAAATAGACGAACAACTATTTGAAGATGTCACTACAACTGAAATTGTTGACAACATCATTTATTACAGCTGGATTTGTCGCAAAAAAATTGTACAATACTTCAAAATGTAATATTTGCCGTGAACAGTTACATAACAAAGAAGATGCATGTTCGAGTACATCTGAATTTACTAGTACAAAATCCAGGGGTGGTTAAACCATCCAGTTTCGTTAATGTTTTATATTTTCCGATGGGTGGAAGGGATACTTATGAAATATATCGATTTTGTGGATGTATTCGATGGAACAAGTGAAGAGCTATTCGCAACAAAAAATTTTATGACTATTTACGTTCTTTTTTCTTGTGAAGCGCATAGATTGGAAATATTTTCAAAGGCAATTTTACACAATTATGCCAATTAAACAATTTTATAAACATGAACAAGAGAAAACAACCAAGGCATGTGCAGAAAAAAGAAAAGAGTCTCGACTGCAGACTACGTAATAATGATAAATTTTTATTTATCAAACAGTAAAGTAGATAATAGTTGATGGATATTTTTTAGTTGTCTTGTGAAACGAACAGAAGTGAGTGAAACTAATACAATATGTGAAGGCGAAAAGAACTATCTTTAACAACGAGTTTACATTCATCTTTTTAAATAAATTATTATTTTAAAAATATTTAAAGTTTTTATTTTAATACAACGGATAATTAATTTTGATGATTTTTTGACCTAAATGGCTTTAATTCCGACAAATACTTCTCCCGTCTCTTTCCCGTCAGTGCGATTAATAAATGATGGCCGCCCTCTTCTGTTTCTCTCACTCCAAATCTGTGACTAGTTGGGGACACGTTTCACGCGCTCGTCGGAACACCTAACTTATTATACACCGTGGTACAGTGAAAATGCAAATAGTTGTAATGATTTAGGATCTGTTTTAGTAGCAATTGAATCTAAAGAGAGTAACCAGTGTCAAATTATGAATACAGTTTTAAGCTGAACAACTTCTGCACGTAAATCTGTGGAAGTAAATACGACAGACTACAGACATCTGGACATGGGGGAACAAAATTCTTTAAGTGATGTCTGTGGATACTTAATGAAGAAATGCTTGATGAAATATACCTGTGACACATGTAGTTATTTTGCCGTTGCACGTAATGTCATCATAGATGATAAACTTCTGTGTCACTTTAACGCCTTTGATGATGATCCACCACTTGGTAATCCTAAGATGCTACATGAAGCATTCACCTTTTAGCCTTGCAGCCCTAGAAAAACGATTTCCTTCACTATTTTCTGCCAACTCAATTTTACCTTCATCTCGCCAACATATAAAAGCAGCCCTCGCAACTGTGTCCATACCAGCATACCACACCCCTGTGTCCTGTGCCCTGTGTACAGTTTCCACAAGATTATTTATTCTATTTATTTGTTCGAACGCCCATTTTCTATTCAATAAAAATAATAAATCATTAAATACCAGACATCTAAAATGTCAAATTTGACGCACAATGTTGACCACAGAACCAGAGAACATAGAGAAGCGACATAGAGGCTGATTTTGCAAAACCACCCTTATTGACATTGGAGTCCTCAACCGCCAAAGGCAAGCGCCAAATTTAAATACTCGATGCCAATAAAAACCTTGGTTCACTATAATTGTAATTCGTGTGACTTGAATGAAAATGAAGGAAACAGTAAGCAGCTTGTAATATTCTGGTAAATCTAGTGTCAATTTGTCGAAAGTAAAACGTGTCGTTAAAAATATTGCGACATTTCTTCTAGTTAATTTTATTCCTCGTTAGAACCAAACACTGCTGCCAACATAAATTGCCGAGTCCTCAACCGTCATTTAATTTAAACTATGGCGCTTCTCTATGTTCTCTGACAGAACAGTCAATATATAATAGAGGTGGGACGGGTAGTAACCATAGACAAACTCTCTTGCTTTGTCTATGGTAGTAACCATTCGTTACAAAGTATTCGGTACACGATGAGACCCGAACTACCGAGTATCGAAGTTGAAAAGTAATCGTTACTATTCGTTAATGATTACTGATCATTTCGTGATTTCGAGTATGCATTCTGGATTCAAATACTAAGGAATCAAGAACCGATTGCCGAAATACCGAGAACTACCGACCTCCTAAGCCTATAAATCAAATACCCTTACTTTTATTTACTAACACTTCGCTTTCAAGTTGAGTTGAATGTTGAATATAGAAAACGGAATAAGTTAAAAATAATGCGGCCTTTTGTTAGTTCGGGCCTTCGGGCCTAACTCTTGATTACTCTCTAACAAAAATTTAATGAAGGAACTAAAGTTACTAAATAATAATAGATTTATAAAGTAAGTTTTTTTGTTTTTGTTTTTTTTATTCTATGTAATATTATTTGATTTATTTTTGTATTTTTTTACGATTTAAATATATTTTTTGTATTATTCCAGAAATTATTAGATATTTTCATACCGCAATAAAACCAAACCAAAGCGAGTTTCATTGAGTAATCAATACCCGAAGTAACGATTATAAATAACGATTACTTTTTTAAAAAGTAACGAATACGTACGAGTACACCAAAGTAACGATAGTTCCCATCTCTAATATTGAATGTTGACATCATGGAGGAAGGAATATATTATATTCCTTCCTCCATGGTTGACATGATGGTAAATTTTATTTAGTAACAAGGTTTGCCACTACAGTTTCAAGCCAAAATTCAAGGTCATGTTCTTACCCAACCGTCGTTTATTATTGTTCTCGTCGGTTACGTGCTTTTCTTATGGACCTTTCAAAAGCTGTCCTTACTGTATGGTATTCTGTGCTGTTATGGTATATATTTTTTTTCGATTATTGCTGCATATGGTTGGTAGACGTGAATGGAAGTTCCATTTTAGAACTAACTTCCCTAAATCTGTTTCCACTTAATGTCATCTGTCAGGATATTCTATGGTCATCTGTTGATAACCTAAATTAGGAACACGCATTTTAGTTGGTGTTCAAAAAACTATTGCCGTTCAAAGATAAATGTGTTCCTCCTGCAGTGAAAATGTTGCGCCGTAAAGATTTTAGTTGGTAACATGTTATTTGACTCGGAAAGCAGTGGTCAGTATTAATTTCAAGGTTCTGGGTATGATATATATACATATGTATTTTTCATTTGCAGATGCGACTGTAGTTGATATATTTTGTGAATTCATTGAAATAGTTATTCACAACATTTTATACATAAGAAGAGTATATCCTGATACAATTTTTGAATCCAAACGTAAATATGGTGTAGTTGTTCATCATTCGATGCATCCAGGTGTTTGTGAATATATATTACATTGTGTTGACACCATTGGTCACTATTTGAAAAAGAACCAGTTGAAAGGTGTGTTTTTGAGTTTAAATTCTGGTGAAAATATTGTAGAAAAGTATTACTTTAAAATATTCAACATCAATTCTGACTATGAAAGGTATGGACCATAAGATGTAGAATTTTCTGTTTAAATATTAACCAGTAAAACTTGAAAATAATAATTACCGAAATTTTAAACTGTGGTAAACATAGAATAGGTAAGTTTGTGAGGCTGGCAAAAACAATCTTGGGAAATCCTCATAAGTAAACTTACGGGCCAATGTCAAGTTGGATTTGCGAAATCGCAAGTGCCGTTGCTTTGGTAATTTCGATGACAGTTGTTGCGATTCGCGATATGATTCGACCTCGCGACTGCTGTCATCGCATCTTCCATGGCAACGAGGACTTGTGAAATTATAAATCCAACTTGAAATTGGCCTTTTAATCTGTTTTACACTGTACTTTATACCTTTGGTAATTATTGCTTTAAAGTTAGAGCGGTCAGTATTTGCGTGGAAAAGTCCAATTAATTGATTTTAATTTTAGTAATGATCCATTTACCATAAAGCTTGAACAATATTTTAGTGATTTTTGTTTAAAATTATATTCTTGCATTAGCATATTTAATAGTTTACCAAATAATTCTACATTTACTGTACAATTAGATGTATCAGAGTACGCAACTTTAGAATATTCTCAAAATTTAGCACATCAGGTGTGTTTATATAAATATTTTGTAACACATTAGTGCTCAATATGTACATGTTGTAGGGTTTTTTATGGCTGGACGTTAATGAAAATGAAACCAATTCATCTACCAAAATAATTCCATTACAAACTATTCAAGCAGATTTTTTAATTATACAAACATATGTCATACAATTAACACAGACTGATTCGAGACTAACGGAAAATCGTTGTTGACTGAAAGTTAAGCGTATACTTTTTTAGAGAAGAATTTACGTCACAGATAGTGAAAATAAAATGTGTGACAGTGGCCGTCGAAAAAGTAAGCACAGGCATAACAGTTTATTAGAGACATGTAGAACTGTAAAAGGAATTTTTAAAAAAGATGACTTGGATGATTCATTGTCAACTTCTGACTGGGATCAATTATTTACTGACAGTGTAGTAAGTATTGTTATCTTGGACTAGACAAAAATAAACATTCTGGTGATCTTATAGAAATCTAGAAGAAGAGCTCCTTCTGTGAAATTAGATGATGAACCCTTAACTTTGATTTGTGAATGGAATAGTTGTTACCAGGCATTCACAGAAGTACCTTCCTTTAATAAACATGTAAAAGAACACATACATTATTATAATTTTGATGAGGACCCAGGTATGTGTTAATCATTTAACATTTTATTATGATAAGTTGTCTCTACAATTGCTCGACAGGAAACCATATACACTAAAATTATATTTTCTACCGTTTGCTTAAAATAAAAAAAGTAACATATTCGCCTAAAGGGTAGACAAAAGGTGCTTCAAACCCCATTGAAAAATAAAATAAGATTTAATTTTTTTTAAGCCAAAATTTTCACACCTACCTTAATTAATGGATTCGCAAATATTGCAAAAGACGAAAACTTAAATTGGTGTATGGCTCCGTAGCACCATGTCCCTTAGTATTATGAAATTTTAAAACTGCGAATATACAGGGTGTCTCAGAAATAAGTACATTAATTTTAACGAGTAACAACTCGTGAAACGGAACAACTTTTTATCTAGCATTTTTTCGAAAACTCAAGTCGAATTTCGAATTTTCCCGCCTCCCAAATCGTCGTCTGCCAAATGTGCGCACTTGAAGATCGTTGCAGCATCTTCGAGAGTACGGATCTTTTAAACTTGCACCTCAGGATCAGGGTAAGTTACTTAGTGATAGAATTGCTAATATTGAAGAGGCTGTTTTGCGGAGTGTCGAAGCTCGACCGGGCACTAGCACAAAAGTTTTGCCTACGTGGTAAGTCTGCTGGTTTCAATAACTGAACTTTCTGGTCCTGAGTTGAAGCTGAAGTTGTTCTCTGAGTATCGTCCAAATACTACTCTCCGAAACATCACACTAGACAGTGATGCGTGCTAGTGCCCGGTCGAGCTTCGACACTCCTCAAAACAGCCTCTTCAATATTAGCAATTCTATCACTAAGTAACTTACCCCGATCCTGAGGTGCAAGTTTAAAAGATCCGTACTCTCGAAGATGCTGCAACGTTCTTCAAGTGCGCACATTTGGCAGACGACGATTTGGGACGCGGGAAAATTCGAAATTCGACTTGAGTTTTCGAAAAAATGCTAGATAAAAAAGTTGTTCTGTTTCACGAGTTCTGTTACTGGTTAAAATTAATGTACTCATTTCTGAGACACCTGTATATATATACACCTATACATATTATATTATATATACGAGGGCCGCTAAATATATTATCTACCTGACTATGAAACAAGACATACGATTTTGTGGATAATTTTATTTTTCAGTATAATCACTCCCTACAGCAATGCACTTGTACCATTTACTCTCCAATGAATCTATATCCTTGAAAAAAAAATTCTCTTTGCTTTTGCTTATTTTAGGCAGCCATCAGACTTAAAACGACGTCCGCTGCATTCTTGCACAACGGGCTGAATTTTAGCCGCCTTATGCACCGTCGCAATGTCGCGTAGGAAAAACATTTCTGTTGGCCAGCATGGGCAATTCCTCATTAATTACATTACACAAATTTTTCAGTGTTGGCTTAGTTGTCTGCTTTTATTGTTGTCTATGTATGTATTCAATAAGAAGGATGCCTCTAATGCCCCAGAAAACGCTTGGTATTAATTGTCCACCAGATGATTGCGTCCGTACCTTTTTTGGGATGGAGACCCTTTGTGAACTCATTGCTTCGATTCATATTTTGTTTCAGGGTCCCAGTGATATAGTTGACAATTTTCTTCAAAAGTTTCTAAATGATTTCGTGAAATTCCTATTTTGCATAGTTTTTTTTTTTTTGGTGTGATCAATCATGGGACCCATTGGGCAGAGACTTTACTCATGTTCAAATTATCATGCAATATGCTTATTGCACTAGGTTTGGTTATTTCAATATCCTGCTAATTGTCGAAACCTTTACACGCTGAATCGCTGATCCTCGAGGGCCATAACTCCACTCTCTGAGTCATCTCCGCATCTGTTTTTGTTTTTGGTCTTTCATTTTAGGGGTCGTCTACGATGGATTCACGTCCCCACCGAAATTGTTTAGACCAAAATATTAAAATATAATAAGATGGTCTATCATTTCCATAAACTGCCACCATCCTCTCACGAATTGTTTGTCTTTGGCTGCTGGCTTTCTTTTGTAAGAACTTTATAACGCTGCGATACTCTAATTTTTAGTTGCTCACTTTTCTTTGTGTAACACCTTATAAAACTCAAACCAATAATCCAGCATAACTCAAATTTTCGGTGGACGTTTAGAATAAATGGCACCATAGAAAATGGCACTATTTGACATATTAAGGGTGTCAACTAATTTTTAATGGCTAGGTAGATAATATTTCTAGTTGCCCTGATATTCAACCACTTTATGTAATCGTTTTAAATTTATATAGATAATCTGCATTGCTGTTGGTTAGAGTGCTCTTACAATGCAAACTCAATTGATGATTTGAATCAGCATGTCTGTTTCCATGCATACCACACCAGATTAAAATCTGTTGGTAAAAATGTAGAATTTCGAGAAAAATTACCGGAATGCACACAATCAGAACGTTTTGTGATCCCTGTTCAAGTGGATGGTTATCATTGCGAATGGGAGTTTTGTTATGAGAAGTTTATAACATTATTTGAATTTTTTGAACATGTTCGCATTCATATATATCACAATCCTAAAAGACGTGAAGAAGGCGAAATTAATTGTTGTTGGAAAGGATGTACTAGTGCAGGAAGATTCGCATCCCAATATAAACTTTCAGAACATATGCGAATACACACTAGAGAGAAAATTATCGCCTGCCCTACATGTGGTAATTTGTTCTCTAATAGGACAAAGTTTTGTGATCATCGTAGAAGACAATTGCCTATCAATTGTATGTTTATTTTTTTTCTATCTTCATTCATTAAAATATGTATTGTTTTAGTACAAAGTTATTTGTGTTCACAATGTTCAAAATATTTCCCCAGTGAACGTTTATTAAGAGATCATATGCGGTTACACATTAACCATTACAAGTGTTCCATGTGCGAAATGACTTGCCCCAAACCGTCTATTCTTGCAAAACACATCAGGTACAAACATTTGAACGAAAAACCTTACAAATGCACCCAATGTAATTATAGGTAAGCATATAAGCGTTTTGTGATACTTCACACTTATTTTTATTTATTTTTTATTACAGATGTGTTTCCAAACATAATTTAGATATTCATATAAAGAAACATAACCCTGATAGCGAATTTAAGTGTTCCGATTGTGATTATACATGTAGGTCTTTGTTTGGTCTGGATCGTCATTATCAAAAAAATCATGGAAAAGTAGTAGTTTCTTTCAGATATGTATATATTTGTATACAATTATTCATTTAAGGAGTGGAATAGTGTATATGAGTGTCACAACTGTAAGAAACAGTTTATTCGAGGAGGTTTTCTTACAAAACACTTGATGAAGGTTCATAATTACCACTGGCCTTCTGGGCATTCAAGATTTCGCTACAAGGAAGATCAAGATGGAATTTATCGACTCCAAACGGTTCGTTATGAAACTCTCGATGTTACAGAAGAAATTATTAAGGGGAAAACGGTACAAGCTCCCACTGAAAAAGAGTCCTTTAAATTTAACGTTTTAAAGAGAAAGAGAAAAGATGACAATTCCTTACAGATGTTTGATATTGTTTTTGCCAGCAATAATGAAAATCACTCGGAGTGTGAACCAAGGAAAAAAGTACTAATAACCATAGATGATATCGATTCCAAAGGAAATGTATTAAAATCTCAGACAATACAGTCCAGTGAAGTTATTTGTTCGGATATGAGTCAACTAGATAATAGTACACATATTGAGAAAATTGTGCTTGCAGAAAACAAGAAGAAATCAAAAAGATCTGTAAAATCTAAGCGACGATAATTCAATTTTGTATACAATTAGGGAAGAGTTTAATAAAATCACTTTGCAAAATACCTAATATATTTTCTGTTAAATATCACAATACCTTACAATAAACAATAGTCATAATTATTCCAGTATAGAACAAAAGTCTGTCTTATTTTAAGAAGTTGTGCTTAGATTAGTTATTCGTACTGATTAGTGTCGAGATATTTTTACTGAAGCGTAGTAAACGTAAACTAAAAACAAAAGGCAGGCGCATGTGGCAGTGGAAGAGTGATGAGACATTTTTTAGGAATGTTACATTCTGCTGTTATTGCTTTTCCACGTAACACTGTTTCTAGGTTGCATTTGTAATGAATTTCTATTGTCATATTGATCTTCTTCAAATGCTTTGTTTACGTGACCATTTTCAAAAACATCTTTTGCGGGAATACTACTCGCAATGCTATTACGCTGGTTTCTAGTCATTATATTATTGTTTCCGTACTCATTCTTTGCTCCTAGAGTTTGCATATGAGATTTTCGTCGCTCGGCCATTACAGAATTTACTCTGACCTCTAATGCTTTCATTGTCTCTCTTCGCATTGTTAATCTGCGACTTAGTACTGGTGTTCCGGCATTTGTACCATTTGCATTAAGTTTCGCGAATCGCTTTTTGAACGCAACATCCAGTGTTCCTATTTGTCTTTTCTTTTGAGCTGCTCTTTCAAGATTGTGAATTGTTTTACGTCGGCCTATTCTATCAGGACCTGAACCTGAATCATCATAATCACCATCGTCAAGCCCTTGCAACTTCTGAAGTTGTTTGACAATTTCGACCGCTTGTTTATCCAATAAAGCATTAGGAGACATTTCTTCTTTCTGTTTACAGAATTGGTTAATTAAAAATACCTCGCAAAACTATGAAGATTCTTACCTTTTTCGTGCAACATAGATTTAATTCAGTTGACGCTAGTATGTGGGCAATCGTGCCAAATCTATGAAACAACATGGCAACGAACTGAATTACCAAAATGAGAGCGAAGAAAAAGACGAAAACTAAACCAATCGGCTCCAGTTGCAGATATTCTTTGGTAATGTGGACCTGCGCAGAATACACATATTATTTTTAGATCTAAACTGTATATTTCACTATCCTTTACATTAAGAATTTTGCAGTATCATTAAGTAATACACAAAATTTATGTTACCACAACACATTTTGATACGAAAAAAAAACATGAACATGTCATGTTGTGGATACGTTTACAAATGAAAGAAGTTCTTCTTTGGTGAATATGTTACCACTAATATCCGAAATCCGCTAATATGCATAATAACTAGAGATTTTAGAAGTTTGCGTAATTACTGAAATTTTTAGTTATTATGCATGTTATGAAATAGCACTGGTTTATCGCGAAAAATAACTCACTTCAATTTTAACGAGCAGGAAACTACATAGATATAATATATAGAATTAAATACATTTATAGCAACAACTTCACACCATGGATAAATTTTAATTTAACGTCATCACCAGCTACAGCAGTCATTATGAAGAACAACATTCAATTAAACATCGCTTTTAACACCAGGTTCTGTATTACAGTAGAGGTAGAAACAATTACATCTCACATGCGCATGTTAGGCAATATGCATAATGATTGATGTTTCAAGTTATGGTGCCCCAGTTTTAATTAAAATTTCGCGCTGAAAAAAAGACAACAGCACGAAACCATTTTAAAATATCTAAGTACCTATTTGAATTTGAAAAATAAATAAAAAAATCGTTAAACATAGGCAGCCATGTGTAACTTCAGTTAGGGTAATAGCACAGTATAGATATCAATCAGTAGAGACAACTAGATATTTTTACTGACCCGTTTTCATGGGTGGTCGTTTGTCTTGTGGCCGTATCAGGGCGCGCAACGCAAGGTACTTCTCTTTCTTACACATTGGGACATTGAACTGCGGTAGTTTGGTTGTCTAGTGACTTTAATGTGAAATATTTGAAATTTGGCAGTTTAGGTGCATTGGTTTTGATGATTTAAGGCTGATCATCCGGATGTAATTATTGCAGTTAAGTGTAATTTTCACAGAGACATTTTAAAAAGCGTTGTTCACGTTTTCATAGGACCATTGTTTAGTGTTTAATTTTTTTGTAAAAAATTTAAATGTGCATATGTATATTAGCGTTTTCTAATAACGTTGAATTTTACAACCATTTACAGCCATCATGGAAAAGAAATTAATGAAACGTAAAATCGTAATCAGAGAAGCGGGCCACATCTAAATTTCAACACGGCGTCTCTATTATAGGGCGCTTAATTAATTATTTATTATAATAGACTGTGTGGTTTCTAAGATCAACTAGTTAAAAAGTGTAGTAAATTGTGTACACGAATCAATTTTAAAGTGAAGCGTTTGTGATCCTTTTTAAATTGGGTGGCGACATTTAGAAATATTTTGGGCAACGACCACCGATGACGGCTTAAAATTCGGGTCAGAAAGATCAAATGCGCCGACAAGAGTTGTCTCTACTGATTGATCTCTATACTGTGGTAATAGCCCGTCCTAAGGAATATTTGTGTATTTGAAAAGGAACTAAACTATTAAATGTCAATCTTTAAGTTGGCTATGGAGGATTGGCAATGCAGAAAAAGCGCCCTCCTGTCTGTTTTGCTCTTTGACAGGTAGTTCTGGTGTAACGATGGTAGTGTAAACACGCGGTGAAAGTAAATGTAGGTGAAATTTAATTTGTACTTCCATAAAAATAGCAGTTGTTTAAAACGAAAGTTAATCGCACCGATGCCACAGTTTCTAAAGATGTTAGTGAATAAAAAAATTGTTTTTAACCACGGCCAACTGTTTTAAACCCAAAGACGGCGCTAGCGGACATTTTAAATTTTTGAGATTTTTAAGAAAACCTATACTCTATTAAATAACAAATACTTGCAAGTTTACGGAAAAAAATATATTTTAATTGCTTATTCAATTAAAACTGTTAAATATTTATAACAAAAAAAATTCGTTTTAAAACAAAAAGTATTTAATAAAAAACGGTTTTTTAACATCTCTAACAGTTTCACCCCAACTAGAGTAACTCACGGTAGGGCCTGTCTAATTTGCAGACCACAGTTTGTCTTGCAGACTGGGGCTTAAAAATACTCCAATCAAGTCAAAATTTGATATTCCCTAGTTTCTCAATACGAGGATTATCGATACAAAATTTCAGCCTATTCGAAGAAACCCTCAAAAATCACCCCCAAAACAACCTTGCAGACTGGGGGTTAAAAATGCTTCAATCAAGTCAAAACTCGACAGTCGCTTATTTCTTAATACGAAGATTGTTGATACAAAATTTCAAGTCGTTCGGAGAAATCCTTAAAAATCACCCCCAAAACAACCTTGCAGACTGGGGGTTAAAAATGCTTCAATCAAGTCAAAACTTGATATTTCCTAATTTCTCAATACGAACATTGTTGATACAAACTTTCAACCCGTTCGGAGAAATCGTTGAAAACTACCCCCAAAACAACGTTGCAGACTGGACCTTAGAAATATTATTACCAAATCGAAACTTAGTGTATAGTTTTTACCTATACGAGAAGTGATAATGCAAAAAACAGCCTTTTTTAAGCTGCTCTTAACAAGTACCCCAAAGCAGTCTTTCATAATGGAGCTTAAAAAGTCCAATTGAGTAGGAAGTCAGCAGTCCCTCAGTTCTTACACAAAAAATTATCATGTTAAATTTTAGTCACCTTGAAGCAACTTATAAAAATGATTGATAGTTCCCATTCATTTAAAGTACAAGTAGCAGAAAAATTTTAGATACATATAAAGAGACAGTACATATTTCTAAAGTAGGTGCGCACCATAGAGGTAGAATGAGAGGAGGGAAGATAGTTTGAAAAAATGCCTGGTACCGCGCTTTCTACTAGGGTCATAAATGGTTCTTCCAGGTCCTCCGAGAAACTACTAGTACTATTAGACATAAAACAAAAAAAAATTCATAAGAAAGCATATAAAAGCAGCAGCAGCAAATTTACTCGAGTTTTTAATTGGTTAAGAATCGTTGCTACGATCGTCGTGTTATCTCCACCTTCGCGCAAACCGAGCTAATTCGTACAACAACTGCGGCATCACCTAATGATCTTAATATGCATTGTTAATTATGAAAAATATTATTTTGTTACCTTTTATAACTTTATTTTAATACACTGACCGGCAAAAAACCGGCCACCCTGAAAAATTTCGCAAAACCAAAATTTAAAAATTATTAATTTAACTAGTGATCGTTATTTCATTAAAGAACTATTCACTATTGACACATGATATATAAATTAGCAATAAAAGAAGACAAATAAACCCAGAGTTAAATTTAATTTAACAAAATAACAGAAACAGAGCGACAATTTGAGAGACAGCAAAAGAGCTAAATGTTCAAAACATACAGCATCGCAGTTAGAGAGAATTCTCAGATGTTGCCGGCTATTGAGAATTCATCATTTTTTGGACAATCGTGTGGTTGTGCTGGGCGATGAAAAATGTTTTACGTTTGCCTATTCAGAGATGGAAGGATGGATTTTATACAAACAATATAGAAGAAATTACAAATAAAATTAAGTCGAAGGCAAAGTTTGAAGATAAAATTTTGGTTTGATGGGCTATATGTTCGGCTGGCGGTTCAGCACCATTCATTGGCCGTATTAGAAGTGACGCGGTCAATACACATAACAATATATGGGAACACCATAATAACGACGATGTAATATTTTGACCAAATTTAGCAAGATGCCATTATACTACAATGTCCAGGGATTGGTTAAAAAGAAATAATATAAATTTTGTACCTAAGATAATCCCCCCATAGTACCCCCAATGCGAACAATCGAAAACAAAATTTGGGCAATACTAAGTAGAAAGGTTTAGAACAACGCCTGGTAAGCCAATTTAGAAGAGCAAATTACCAGAAAGTTAGGGAAATGGACGTGGACACCATCCAAAGGCTGTAAGACCTACATATGAAGACAATTTTGCGTCGTACTGAATATAACGGATCTTTATCTGTTTTCCCATTAATAATAATTAATTAAGAAATTAGCACTTTTCTGGGTTCTTTTTGAAATTCAAATAAAATTAAGTTTGAGCTTTCTATTATTAATTTAAACTTTCTCTCAAAACGTTTTTTTTTACGTTAGGTTTCTCAGAAATTAAAAATGTCTCTAATTTTCTTTAAAATATCTTTAAGATTTTGTTTCCTATGAATTTTAAATTTTCTCTTCTGGACACCACTTTCTATTTTTTGACTGACGATTAATTATACCTCAAAGAACTCAAAACCAGCATATAGTATGTTTTGAACGAACCAAGTAAACAGCAAAAATGACGTGTAAAAACACACCCTAAAATGAGAGACTGGACGAAAAAATGCCGAACTTATGCATTCTTACATAGTAGCAACTGATTATAATCTAACAGTGATAAACATGAATTCAAATTATCGCAGTTTGTTTATGTTTCTTTTAAAGATTTCTCTGAATGTATTGAAATTTTGTATCAACTACAATCCTCGTTTTGATAAATAAGCAAATGTCGAGTTTTGACTTGACTGGGGTATTTTTAATCCCTATTCTCCGAATAGGCAAAAATTTTGCATCAATGATCCCCGTATTGAAAAACTAGCGAATGTCAAATTTTGATTTGATTCGAGTATTTTTAGGCTCCAGTCTGCAAGTTTGTTTTTGGGCTAGTTTTTAACGGTTTCTCCGAACGGATGTAAATTTTGAATTAACAATCTTGGTATTGATAAATAAGCAAATATCAAGTTTTAACTTGATTGAAGCATTTTTAACCCCCAATCTGCAAGGTTGTTTTGAGGGTGATTTTGGAGGGTTTCTCCGAATGGGGTGAAATTTTGCATCAATAATCCTCGTATTGAAAAATTAGCGAGTGTCAAATTTTGACGTAATTACAGTATTTTTAAGCCCTAGTCTGCAAGGTTGTTTTAGGGGTAGTTTTTAACGGTTTCTCCGAACAGGTTGAAATTTTGTATTAACAATCTTCGTATTGATAAATAAGCAAATCTCGAATTTTGACTTGATTGGAGTATTTTTAACACCCAGTCTGCAAATCTGTTTTAAGGGTGGTTTTTAAGGGTTTCTCAGAACGACTTGAAATTTTGAATCAACAATCTTCGTATTTAGAAATAAGCAAATGTCGAGTTTTAATTTGATTGGAGCATTTTTAACCCCCAGTCTGCAAGATAAACTGTGGTCCGCAAATTAGAAACGCCTCCCACGGTATAAGAACATGTCTTCTTGTACCATAGAGTAACTAATTATTATTATTAATATTTCTCTAATTGAGAATCTTATACAGTTTTGCTGATGTCGACATCTGCTATAAATATTGTTTATTGTTTGTAAATGCTCATGTTAAGAATTTTAACCGTTTCTAGTTTTAACAAAATTTAACAGTTATGAAATTGTTCATATACCACGTGCTAGGAAATTCACTTATTCATGTTTCATTCTTATGTTTATCAAGTTATAACCGCAGTATACATAGATATACAATTAATAACATATAATAACGTTATATAATTTAGCTATATATCTCATCCGAGATTAGTAATAGTTCATTTATATTTAAACTAATCTAAAGGTTGTAGACTGCAAAAACAAGAGGGATTTAATATTTAATTATAGGTTTAATAGTTTGTTTCAGGTCTAATTATTCTCTTGCGGGTTTAATAACATTTTTGCGGCTTAAATTAAACATTTATTTCCGAGATCAGTTGATTTTGACTTTGATCGTACTGAACATGTGTTTATTTTTGATTGGTTGTATGTAATGTGGGGGTTTCGGTCTACGAGATAATCGTATTGATGAGGCTTTTACTTGTTTAAACTCCATCTTCAATAAATACGGTGAAGTAAATACTTTGAGAGTTTACCGGATTTACGAGATAATCTGTGAATGCAATTTGATATGATTAATCACTTGAAATAACACATGATTTAACATGTAAATCCTTTGTCTAAAAATTGTTTATAAAATGTGGCATAATTTAACTTTATGTAACTTATTTCTTGTTTAAAGATCTTGATAGTGTATCGCACAACAGAAATCTGTTAGCTCTGCTATTTAATTAATGATAGTTAGAATTCGGGGGTACAAATTTAACAAAAATCAACAAAAGAGGACGAGATGAAGTTCAAGGCCTAATTTTTAAAATTTCCGCGGGTTTTAAAATTTTATTGGCCTGTCAAATTCTGGCGGAATGTTTGAGTTATCATAAGGAATTATGCATAGTTCCTGTTGCTCTGTTGGCTACTATTAATATTACGTGAACGTTTCCGTTTTTATGCGTCATATTGAAAAATTGTATTGATTATGCATAACTCCTAAAATATTTAGTTATCATGTATGTTAACGGTTTGCGGAAATTAACGGTAACATGTGCACTGTGTGGAAATTAATAATAATATAAATCCAATAAATTAAAAACAATCTTTTACAAAAACCTTCAACATTGAATATTTTTTATTACACTTGAAAATTAGTTTCAAAAAACATTTATTCGGTAAATTTCCACATTCGTAGCACCCCTATTTGTAAAAGTTCTTTTACACATGTTAAAAAGTAGTTTTGAAAAGCATAACAAAGTTTATAGATTTAAGGATTTCTACCACTATAGTTGGAGCATTTTTATAAAAAAAAACAACGTATTTTGAAATTACGGCTGTGTATATTTATTCCGCGAGTGACTAAGCGCTAAAGCATAGTAATGTAGAAAAATGATGATCGACTATATTCATTTATACTGCGGTTGCAACTTGTAGCTCATTTACTTTCATAAAGTTTAATTTTTAAATTTGCGATATACACATTTTATTCACTGTCCATAATAACTAACGTTGTGCCTCCTAAAGGCTTGATGTCCCAAAATAAGTATCCATTTTCTGTATTGTGCTAAATATTAACTTCATTTTTAGAGATGAAGAGGTTTTGTTTAAAACGTAGTTGGTGTAGATTAAATTCAACATTTTAATATAAGAAAAAATTTTGAAGGTGTCTGTTTTGGTAACAGTAATTTTTTGTTTTTAAGAATTTAAAGAGACGGTGTGGAGATAATATGGACCCTGAAATAAGATCAGTTGCGCCAATTGGAAGAAAAAAAAAACCTTTCCTTTTTGCAGAAAGTGTAAACGGGGATATTAAGTGCGGAGCCATGTAATCCGTGGTTGTAGGATATTCAGTTTCAATTAAAACATTTTTTTTTATTTTTTCATCGAGGACGGCAGTTTTTCTTGCAACGTTTAATAAATTCAGATGTGAGGTCAAGAAAAGTTAGAAAAATCGATTCTGAACAGTCTCTTTTTTTATATGATTCAGCACCACGCAATAATTAAAAACAAACTAAAAATAATACACTTAAAATTTTTTACAAAGCATTTACGTTATTTAATTTAAAGTATTTAATTATCAGAAACGTTCAATATTATGCCTATTTTAGATTATCTACATTTTATATTTATTGTAATAGTACTCGTAATAATTCTTCAACAAAAAATACTCTTTATTTAAAACAAAAATCAATTTTTTTAGAAAGCGGACACGTATTTTGGGAGGAAATTTATTTTCAAATCGGACACTTACTCTGGGACAGCGAGAGTATATTTTCGGTACTTAATTTAGCATACAAAAGTACTTATTATTTGGATACAATGACAGGAGAAGAAGATGAAAAAGATACAAACATACGGATTTAACTTCTGTTGACATACTCATCGTAATTGTTTTGCAATGAAGATCAAATGTTTGATGTGTAAATAGCTTTTACTTTAGAAATGTTCTACAAAATTTATGTCTTGACTCAAAAAAAAAACAATTTGTACCTACGTTTAAGACAAAAAATTGAGTAAGTAATTTTTTCGCATATAACGCTGTTACCTCAATTTTTTTTTTTTTTTCATTGAATAAAGTGTCTTTTACCGAGGATAAAAAAATAACAAAAACAGGGAATAACACTGTTGAAGACATTGTCAGTGGAACTAGGAGTGGGTGCAGTTGACGATTTTTCCAAAATTGTATTGTTTTAACTACTTACATACACCAGGAGAACATTTTTACGAACATACAAAGATTAGTAAATTTTTTGTTAATTTTCTTTACAGTTGTGAAATTATGTATAGTGCATGTGAAGTTAACCCTTTAAGTCAGATTAAAAGGGTGTAAAAGGAACAGATAGATAAACCTTTACCTCCATATTTATACACTTCATGGATGTTATTATTGCTTAAATCACTTTAGGAAAATTACAAGACATACACCCAGTGTATTAATTACACAATGTGCAAAAATCTTATGATTATAATTGTCACAAAAACATAAAAGTCACAATTATGATAAACTTTCCCATAAATTCCCAGACCAAGACACGGATTAGTATCCAAAATCCAGACAGAAGACAGTGAAAGGACCTTTAAATACCTCGGATGTTTCCTCAATGTACGTTATATTAGTGCGTACACCAAGTGGCCACTTAACATGGATTTGATCCTTATTAAGTTGCAATAGGAAGACGACTAATACAAATAGAGCATTGAACATGAAGAACGCAAATACCGATTTGTTGCGGAGTTCAATCAACTCCTTTGCAATCCTGGCCTGTAAACATTAAAATAAATCAGTACAGTTATTTATTGGGCTCACATAGTTTTCTGTGGGGATCTGTAAGATGTAAAGAAAAAAGAAAACCATGTGATGCCCTTATAGTTACCTCTTGTGAGCTTTCATCATAGGTTATGTTGGTTTTAACACCAAAGGGCCATTTAATGTGTAAATAGTCCTTTTTCAGAGTCAGCAGGAATACTATCAGCACGAACAAAGCATTCATCATAAAGAAAGCAAATACTGATTGATCACGTAATTCCTTCAAGTCAGCTGCTATACGGGCCTATAATTTTTCAGAATATATGTGTACGTAGTTTGGATATCAGCTAAAGAAAGATTTATTAAATAATAATGATACATTACCTTCTCCTCTTTGTTTTCATCAATGGGGTATAAGTACTTATCCAATAAATCTTTCCAAAATTGTATTTCATTGCTACTAAGGAACTCGACTTCTCCTTTTCGTACGTCGGGGTCTTCAATCCAGTAGGGATTTACTAAATCATCTCTTTTATTTTGCGGCACCGTTGAAACCGTTTCTGAATCAGTTTCGTTTGCCGATTCTTCTCCTTCTTCTTCAGTAACGGCCCCAAGATGATGATGGTCTCCACGTGATGACGCGGACATACTCCGTCTTCTTGAAATATGTCCAGATGGATCAATGGTTCTAAAATATATTTTTAAAACAATATAATTATTTCGTATCCACAACTAATACTTTTCAATGTGATCAAGACGTTTATTTAGCATTTCCAAAGAATCAGCAATATTGATTAGTGATGCTTTTTCATCTCCTGCTTTTTGATGAGTACAAAGCATGCATTTGAATAAACCTGCCAACGATATTTCAATACTTCCTTCGTCATCATCACTAGTGCCACCGCTTTGAAGAAAACCAAGAAGTGATTTTTGTTTTGCTTTTCGTTTAGCTTCTTCGGCTTGTTTTTTTTCTTCCTCAAGTTCCTTTTTGGTTTTTTTAACTGCAACTTCTCGAGTCCCCCACGATACTACATTAAGATTGATAATTGAATACAAAATCAATAATAAGTACATAGATGGTATAGATAACAAATATATTATCCCAGGAACGATGCACCAAAACTCTTGTGGATGTAAGCAAGCAGCGATAAAGAATGATCCTGTCATAGCTATCAAGAAAATTGCTGACGGTGAACCTACACCATCCTCTCGTAATTGAAGAGCTGTACCAACTATCACAGCCATCATAATTAATGCATATCCAGTAGACAAAATTTGTGCCACTATTAACTGAAGATTTGATTTGCAGGTAAAGCAGACTAACATAAAGAAAAATATTGGAATTATGTTGTAATAGAAACTTGTCCAGTTGTCAATTTGGAAAGCTGCCACAAAAGCACCAACCAACATAAGAAATATAGTTCCAGGTCCTAGTATAGTACCACCCATCAACAAAATCTGAAAAAGAACAAATTTTAAATTAGTAAAGCTTTAATATGCTCTTAATACAATAATAACAGAATAATTACCTGATATCCAATATATGGCATAGAAATATTATCGTTAATGTCAATTGTCCTTTTTGAATCCATAAGCAGATCCATTATGTTTGCTATGGTCGATGGTACCCAACGCCGACGTTGATTATAAAACTCGTTAAAACCTTCAGGTGCATGTGTATAAGCATCCGAGGCAGCAGAGTATTCAACACGATAACCCCTTTGCAGTAAGAGTGTGCACAACCAACGATCTTCTCCTTGATCATATTGTACGTAATGTCTAGCTTCTGCCGAACTAAAAACACGGATTTTTGAATAATATTAATGATCTTTTTTATTTTACCATGTAGTATATTTTTTCATAACGTTGTCGTCCATTAAAGATTTGCCTCTGAAGAGCGAAAAACAACCAGGACTACATAGTACACAGCCAATCACATGTTCTGTAGCTTTTTGTAACCAGTGACCAATGGCATATTCGAACATCTGATACCAAACCATTGGACCAGAACCTACCGGATGAATGCGCCCACATGCAGCTCCCAAGTTTCTGTTTTTTTTCATTAAATCAATCAAAAGCAACACTGCAGATGGTTGGAAATCGATGTCACCGTCCAAAGTTAGAAGGTAGGTATTTTCAGCAATCACTGCCTTTCTGTCGACAGAAATTGGAAGTTCCATAAGGCGGTGACCCAGAAGATAATACATGTACATCACTTGAGACCATCGTTTTCTGTGTCTGATTTTCATTTTGTCTTTTAAATGTGCTATCATTTTGGTTTTACCGGGAAGTGTCCATATTAAACGGCCACCATATGGTGTTGGAAGTTTTTTAGGTGGGCGAATACGCATATGAGTTTGATGTACATCAGACGCTGCCTCATCTATAGTTGCAACCAGTAGCTTGACGAATCTGTTTACTTGTGTTTCATCATCATTATGATCCGATATTTCGAAAGCGTCATCAAAAAATATATGCGCTGAAAGAAAAGTTTTTAAAATACTGAAAAATATGTGAACATTAACCTTACTTTCAAATTCATAGTAATCAGGATCAACAACCCGAAGATATTTCTGAGCAACTCTTCTTGCAGATTGGTCTTCGTCTAGGCGCAAAATAGATTTTAAAAATTCTATCATTTCTTCTTTATTTTCATGCCACATGGTAGCACAACCATATATTCTTGTAATGTGGTCGGAACTCTTCACTGTTTTCGCAGAGGAAGCGTCTGTGTGGTTCGATATAGTTTCATAATATTCATCCCCTTTTTCTTTTTGAATTTCATCTAAATCTTCTGTTTTAACATCAGCTTCATCGTCTCTTCTTCGGTTCATTCCTAAACTTTGATCTATCAGTAGTCCTTCATACATAGGCGTAACAAATAACTTTTCAGTTCGTGCCAAACGTTCACATTTTGGCGTCCATATGTGTAACGTTATCCAGGTTTGAGATAAAAGCCATAATAACCAAATCCAAGCATGCTGATGTGATATGAAATCATTCAGGAACGCTGCTGGTGGACTTTTAAAAAAGAGATATGATGGTATTGTGTCATGAAAGAAACATGGATCCCCACTACGCAAACCACAAGCGGCTATTAACATCGAAATGGAAACAGGAATTGTTAAATTTACGGGAAATGCGTAAGAAAAACCCTGTATCATAATTTTGCAGGCAAATTTTCCAAAAATATAAGCAAAATAAGAAGCAAAGATGTTTATTAACAGAACATACAATACCGTCATATCATTTGCTTGAATTATGACGTCATCACCAGTCGGTATAATTTCAGAATTGTCAGGTAATGAAGTACCTCCAGGAATTGGCTTAATTTCTATTACTTGTATTTGATGAGCGCCGAAACCTTCAGAAAACTGCGTAAAAAAGAAAGCTACTTCTCCCTCTTTAATTAAAATAATAAAAAGAACAGACAAGAAGAATAACAAACATTTCCAGACCGATATAAACATGTAAGTGAAATATCTCGAATGTTCTAATTTGTCTTTGATTCGTCCTAATTTTTTTATAAATGGTATAGGAGAGTGTTTAGAAATATAATTCTCCCACCATCCTAAGGAAACCAAGAAAATTGCCACGGGTATTATCCAAAGATCAACTCGTTGTTCAATTATTGGCCACACCACAAAACCAGTTGCTTGCGCAGCAATTGCTATTAAATCAATAATAACTTTTAAAAATCGTTGTGATTCTTTATTGCTTCGGGATAATAAGCCTAAAACACCCGGTACAAAGCATACACAGTTTGTTAACATTGCTGCTTTAACGACATCAAGGTCAGGAAGTATGTAGAAAATTAAAAGAGTTAGACCAATAGTATGAGCTGTTTCCATAAAAAATACGATCAAAAAATGAGAGAATATAGGCTTCTTTGAAGATTTGAAAAAGCACATTCTAACTGAACGAAAAACTGAACCAAGTTGAGGAACCCAAAATGCAAAGATTAAACACCACATCCAGGCTACTCTTTCTGCTGATGGAAGATTAACTATGAACTGTTTTTCTCGTCCTATAAAATGGAAACAAAAAAATTTGTTTAACTTTGATTTTTAATGTCATACCTAGATCCTTGTTACAGTAAACTGTTACTTTATCAGGTTTCAGTTGTGAAGTCATAAACAAAAGAGTTCCTTTTGATATTACTCCCGAAATAAGTACTATTATAAAGGTGACGAGATAAGCTACGACTTTTAAAATTTTTACAGTAAGTTCTAAACATTTTTGATTTGCCATTGAACCAGATTCCTCCTTGATCGGAGGATCTCGAAAGACGTCCCATCCTTTTGTTTCTTGTACCGTCCTAGTACTACAAACGAAATTATGAATGTTAAATGAAAATGTTAATTTAATTAAATAATACATTGTTGACAATGTAATTCATGGAATTCATAAAACCTTTATGAGTATAACTGCTATAAAGTGTGAAAATTGAAAAGTCTTGTTTTGGTTTAAACAGCTCAAAAGTTGCTGCAATTGTGATAACATTTATTTTAACAGTACGCACTCAGTATACTAATAAAGCGAAATTTTACCAAAGTGTAGTTTATAAAATAATTGAATCAAATTTTTTATTTTACCCAATAATTATATCGTACTTATGTTGTAGACTGTTTATTTAGACAGCTTCATGGATTTTTTGTCTTTTTACTCCTCGAGCGTCTATTTTTGGACGTTTCATGACATCTACGTACGAAAAAAGTAGTTTCCCATTTCCGTACATCCGTCTGTCTGTCTGTCTGGTGTCTGTATCCATTTTTATTAGACACGTAATCTCCGTAACGGCTGTACCGATTATTATCAAATTTTATATGTGTATTAGGAGTAAATCGTCTAGATGGTAAAACGCTAACCAAAATTAGGATAATCGCCTCCAGCAACAATTTGATGACGTCCGCTCATTATATTGCATAATTAACATTACCGAATTTACACGAAATAGTATACTTCTGTACCTACTTGTGTTTTTTATATATTATTTTTTTATTGTTTAAACCGGCTTGTGCTTTATCAAGATATAACCTAACGTTCATATCACAGGTTTAGTCAAGTGGTAGAGTGTCTGCTTCACAGACCGGGGGTCGACGGTTTGAAAGCACTAGGTGGAATTTTTTTTCGTTAGATAAAATAAATTTAATAAATTAAAAAAAATGGACGCAAGTTGTTTCGACAAAATTACCCTCGCTCCCGAAGTACAATGAAACATATCCAGCATTTTCAAGATGAGTTTTTCCTTTACATAATTTTGCGATGACGTCATCAACATTTTTGCAAAGACATGTATATCAGCTTGGATTGGTGCAGTGTAATACTACAAATAACAGTATTGTATTTCCAAACTTTTCTGGGAAAATGGTACGAGAAATCAGGAATAAATGGTCCTGATTTAATCAATAAAATAAATAGACTCATTCATTAATTTTTTGGGTCACCTGTTAAAACATATCTAAAAAATATATGAATGCAATGATAAATCACAAGTAAAATATTTATCACATTTTGCACATTTTGAGTAGAATTTTTTATTATAACTTTAAAACATCTGCAAGATTTCAGAGTATTCGGTTTTGCAGATTCAAAATTAAAGTGCAAAATGTTGTTTTATAATTTTTTCGCAAAAATCTGGACGTTTCAGATAAAATCTCAACACTATGTTATTTTATACAATTTAAAACCTATTTACTATGTGCAATTTTAAAGTGACGTCATCACATTATCGGTGGGGATGATTAGACAAATTTTGGTTAGCGTTTTACCATCCACAGTATTACTAATATATATGCAAAATTTGACAACAATTGGCCCAGTACTTTCGGAGATTATCTAATAAAAATCCGGGACGGTAGACAGACGGACAGATAGACCGACAGACGGAAACGGGAAACCTATTTCTTCGTACGCTAGAGATCATGAAATGTCGAGAAAACGTAAAAGTAGACAGTCGGCCGACGTACTCGATTACAATACTTACTTCGCTTACGTTCGGGAAGTAATAAATTTAATAAAATATATTCACTCTCTAAATTTTTATTGATCAAATTAATCGGAACAATCGGAGTAATGGGGAAATTGAGTCGTGCATTGAGGAAAGAATGGGGTCTGAATAAATGAACGGTACGAGTGAAGTGATATATAAAAGATTGGTGGTTGCGTGTGCTTCGTTTGTTGTGGGGGTATGGTGTGATGTGTTGAGCTTTGGATATGCGAGGGAGTTGGTGAACAGGTGTCAAAGGAGGATGTTGTATGGGTGCATGGTATTTTGTAGGACAGTAAATACGGATGCGATACAAGTGTTGATGGGAGAATTACCGAGGGATTTGGAATTTTTGAGGAGAGGAGTGATGTTTAGGGCGAAAAGGAGAGTGAATCTAGGAGAATTGGGATGGCTGCAGATTAGGCTGGAAGAGGGAGAGAATCTGAAGAAAAAGGGTGTGTTGGATGCGAAACTATGGGAGATCTGGCAAAGAAGATGGGATATGAGCCAAAAGGGTAGAGTGACTCATGATTTTGTTCCGAGTGTGAGGTTCGCGAGTGAGAATGTTTGGTTTAAACCAGGAATGTTTGGGCTGTTTTTGTTGACGGGGCATGGGAGTATGAATGAGTTTTTGAATAAAAGAGGACTGAGTGATACCGATCTGTGTGATTGCGGTAGGCTAGAGAATGTTTGGCATATTGTTTTCAAGTGTGGATTGTATGATGAGGAAAGAAGGAGTTGTGAATGGTCAGGATGTATGGGGGGAAGAGGAAAGACGATTTGAGAGGTTGTTAGAATCAAAGGAGATAATATGAGAGATTAATGGGATTTGCGGAAATTTTAAAAAAAGGAGAAGGATGAGAGAGGGTGTGACGGAGTGAGATATGGGGGAGAAGGATGAGAGAATGAAGGGAGAGTGAAGTCTGTGCCGGTGAGGTATGAAAATACAAGTACCGGCACTGTAATATAAATGCAATGTGTGTGATCAAATTAAAACCCATTTTGTTGAAAGTCTGATAATACGAAGGTCTTTATTTAATAAGGGTTCAATGAGAATTATAATAATATTCAGAACATTTTGTTCGATTGTAGCTTACTTAATAATTTGAATCCTCTGTTTTGAGGCCACGAACTCATTCAAATCAAATTAATTTCTATGTGACATTCTTCCGATGCATAAACATAAACACTTTGAAGTTGTTTTACTTATCGAGCGTAAGCTAAGGAAGTATAGTAATGAGTCTGTCTATCGGGCGACTTGGTACTTTAATATTTTCTCTATATTTCATGACCCCTAGACGGGCTGAGCCTCCCATAGAGAAATGTTTACCTCCCCTAGACATAGACAAGTTATAATTAACCAAATGTGAATTACAACATCGAAAATCAAATAAGCGAAAGTCAGAGCAATAAAAAATTCTGGACCGTCGACATTGTGATCCGGTTATTGCAATTCATAGAAAATATCTTTTAGTTTAGTTTCTCTGTTTTACTTTGATGTACACACTCTTGACAAGCGTTACCGTTATTTGTCTTAAATTACGAGTACGATAAATGATTTTCAGTTAATTCTTCAGTCGCACCTCTGCTATTACACACGGTAGACGTGATTAAATTATTTGGTTATTTTATTGAATATAAATCAACATTCAAGACGACTCACTCCATTTTCCCGAAAATTGTGAAATAAAATACTTTTATTATTAGTATTACACTGCATCTATCCAAACTACGTGTCCTTGCAAAAATGGTGATGACGTCATCACAAAATTTTGTAATGGAAAAACTCAGTGAAACAAACACGTAGCACGTTTCTTTACCTTTACTTAAACATTATATACATATCTTTATTTTAACTTACAATGGTTATCATAAAAAATAAAATTAGCAAAATCAAATATTTTAATTTTTCGAAAGAACTTTATATGATGAGGGAAGTTCTGTCGAAATAATCTTCCACCAATTTTTTAAATTGGTTTTGTGACTTTGGTAAAACTTTGCATGCATTTATAAACTGTTTGAAATTTCCCGGAAATAATACTGACTATAAATCGTGTTCTAGTTTAATTAAAAGAATTTAAAACGGAAAATAACTGTTAGGAAAATTGCAAGGTCGTTCTTAGATCCACTTTTAGCTACAACAAAAGTGAACGGTTTACTTTCAAATATTTTATACAGGAGGTGGTTAGTTGTCTTTATCAGACACATAACTGTTCTGCCGTCGTCAAAGTTCTTGTTCTCCTTGGCATTTCACTGAAATGTTGTATATCCGAATTACTACCAGTTTATACAAAATGACATTTTAATATTATTTCGTTAAATGAATTATTTCCGACAAATTTGCAAGGTTTTAGGATACAAGTGAAACATGCCATTTTGTGGAATTATTACCTTCCTCCATAAATATTTTCGGTCAGAGGAGAACTTTCATCGTCAGAGAAATTGTCGTCACTGTAGGTATCATTCCTAGCTGCCGTGGAGGTCATATCTGCAACAAATATAGTGTTACTAATAGCGACTCATAAATAATGATGAAAGATATATGCAAAAATTGGTCTAAAGAGTTTAGACAGCTCTCAGAACTGTGACTAGGCATAGAGTCACGGTTCCATTGTTTGTTCTCGAAAGATTTTATTCGATAAATCTGAAAAAGCGTGCCACACGTATGTTTCAAATGTCATTTTTGTAATGGCACGTCGATCAATAATAATCCGAGTATTGTATTCCCAAATTTTCGGGATTCTTGATTTAATCAATAAAATAAACTGAATAATTCATTTTTTTAGTCACTTCTATTAGCAGTTCTTAAAAATATAAATCTAGTGATAAACCACAAGTATAGACAGTATACTCGTTATGTTTTGCACATTTTAGGTAGGATTTATTCGGAAAAATTTTGAGATGACATAAATAATTTTTGGGAGGGGTAAACAGACCAATTTTGATTAAAATTTTGTTATGCTTATGATAAATTTGAAACGTCTGCACGATTTCAAACCATTCGGTTCTGCAGCACTCCCAATTTTTCTATAAAATAAATGACACATTCATGAATTTTTTTCAGTCACACTGTATAAGCAGTTCTAAAAATTGGTCGAAGGCTATTTCGATAGAACTTTCCTCGCCCTTGAAGTATAATCCGACAAATCCAGCTCTTTAAAAAAATTATAATATTTGATTTTACATTTTCGTTTTGAAATAAAATCCAGCGGCATAAATAACACCCCCGTAGCCCCTGAGTTGTACAGACAATGTAAAATTTCGGAGTTTCGGAGATTACGTGTCTAATAGAAATCGATACAGACATTACACAAACAGACAGACAGACAGACAGACAGAGACAGATAGATAGACAGACAGACAGACAGAGACAGATAGATAGACAGACAGACAGACGGAAACATCGAGAAAATATAAAAGTGGCCATTCGTCCGATGGACTCGATTATTATACTTGCTTAGCTTACGCGCGGGAAGTAAAAAATATGCATGCAGTGATAAATCACAAGTATCGATTCATCATATTTTGCACATTTTTAATAGAATTCATTCGGCAAAATTTTGAGGTGACGTCATCAATTTTTTGGGCGAATAAATAGATACATTTTAATTAAAAAATTTAGCATGCATAGGATAACTTTAAAACGTCTGCAAGATTTCAAGGCAAAATTCAAAATTAGATTGCAAAATGTTATTACACAATTTTGATTTTTTTTCAAAAATATGGATATTTCGGAATTACAACTCAATACACATTCATGAACTATACGTGTTTTTTTATACTATTTTATACAATTTAAAATCCCCTTATTACAATTTTGAAATGACGTTTGGGGGTATTTAGACAAAGTTTGTTTAGCGGTTTACCAACCACATGCATACATACATAAAATTTGACAACAGTCGGTCCGTGTGCTCACATTGTAAAAAAACTGGGACATACGGTCGGATCGTGCTAAAACGCCCACCACCAAAATCAGTTAAATCAACCAAGACCGTCAGGTATGCAATTTAATGCACATCGCCGAACTGAAAATAATCTTCCGAACTCTGCAAACGCCCAAAATCAACGCAGCGGAAAGAATTTACCGCAACGTCCATCGGTAATTCAGTATGCCGCTGGAAATAAGGCGACTAATCATCATATAAACTCCAAACGGTATACGGAACACAAATCGCGAACCCGAAATCTTAGAAACACAAGAGGAACTGTTTGCTACTACGGAATTGTAACCGTAAAATACATAAATTCAAAACTAGCCTATATTAGCAAAGTGTTTAATCATATTTAATCATACCGAATATTCTTACTAGCCTACATATAATCTGCGAAAAAATAAAAATAAAAAATACTTAATTGGTTCAGGAACTGCTCTCTCTCAACAAGAGCTATAAAGTTTATAAAAAATATAACAATAATGATTATAGTTATTCAAAATTTACATTGCGGACCGCGATATCGAATTTGATAAAATTTTGGGGCTAGATTTTCTTACAACTTACGACTGTATTTTGGATTTCAATAATAATTTCCTAAAATAGTATTTTTTGCACTACCCCAAAACCTACTACTGTAAAATAATAATAGTTATTTATATATAGTACAAGTGTGTTCAGTTAACAGTTACAAATAAGTCACGCGAGAAACAAGTAGCCCAACTGCAGTGACTTCTGTACTGAACACGCGCGTGGTATAGGTACAAAACTTTATCCAACACCTCAAAAACTGATTTAACATAACTATAAATTTGACTTTTTGGACTGACAATTAGGTAGGTTCTCTCTCGAGCGAGCGTGCCGTCGGCATGACGGATCCTAGCATAACTAGTAAATATGGGTGAAAAAGTTTGTTAAAAGTGCAAACAAAAACTAAAAGTGACAAAAGTGTATAAAATGTGAAGCTGTAGGTATATCATAAAAGTTGTCTCCAGATTCTAGTAAACCGTGGTAAAAACTTCAGTGTTATTCTTGAAAATGTGATGATGTGTGAGGAACATAAATGAGAATTAACTCAAATTGATCGTATGTACTTGCAAATGGTGGACATACTAAAAAATGAAAACACATCAATGAAAAGGGAAATTGAAGGGCTTAAAGTAGAAATCGAGGAATTAAAAAAGTCATGAGCAAGTAATATTCATGGTTTATCCGACTTTGTAAAAAGAGAAATCGATAATCTTAAAGGTGAAATAGTGAATTATCTTTCGGAGGTAAAAACCGACGTAAATAAAAAACATTAATGGCAAATTCGATGAAATTAAAACACAGAAAGTAGACACTCTTAAAACAAGAAATGTTTCGACATCAGGGAACGACCAAAAGTATGCAACTTATAGTGAGATAACAAAAAAAAATGAATGATGTGGTAATAATACATCCTAAATCAAAACAACAATTTAGTCAATCAATGCAGATGCTAAAGTCACAAATCAGTCCTGAAGAAATAGAGGTGGATGTTCAACGTGTACGGCCAACAAAAAATGGTGGAATTCTAATTGGTTGTAGCAACAAGGAAGACGCAACGAAATTACAAACTGAAATTGCATCCAAACTGAACAACATTTTTACTGTCCGAAAATCTGGGCTTCGAAATCCAAGAATAAAAATGTTAGATCTTGAAAACCCCATTAGTGAAACGATCTGAAAAAATGTGTTATTAAGCAAAATCTAGGCACTAGTAATATCTCTGTTTTTAAATTATTCGTATGTAAGAAAATGAAGAAAAAATATTATGGAATTATAGAAACGGAGCCAGCCACATTTAAGGCAATTAATAAATTAAAAAATAAAAAAAGTAAAGATATACATATATGGGTTAAATGTATCTGTCATAAAATCAGTTAACGACATACTAATTCCACCACTAATTAAATTAATTGTCAAATGCATTGTTAATTCTATTTTTCCGGATTGCTTAAAAATTGCCTCGGTCATTCCCCTACATAAACAAGGTGATCTTAATGATATAAATAATTATCGACCTGTCTTCTCAAAAGTTTTTGGATCACTAATGTTTGATCAAATATTAAAATATTTTGATGATCATTTATTTTTTAATAATCAATATGGATTTCGTAAAGGTTTATCAACCGAAAAAGCTGTTCTTTCTCTTACTGACAACGCGATTAAATCTTTACAATATGGTGAATACTTTTTAGCTATATTTCTAGACCTTAGTAAAGTTTTTGATTGTGTATCATATAAAATATTATTACGGAAACTTTTTTTTTATAATTTTGATCCAACTGCTACTAAATTAGTACTTTCTTATCTCTCGAATAGACATCAAGTAGTTAGTGTAGATGATAAATTATCTAACAAAAATAAAGTTATGTACGGACTGCCACAGGGTTCCATCTTAGGGCCTCTGTTATTTTTGATTTATGTCAATGACCTACCTAATTATTTATCCCACTTTTCAACAGTATTGTACGCAGATGACACAACAATTGGCAAAAGAGAGACATCACCCCAGTCAATGACAACATCTTTAAATAACATCTATACAGAAACGACTGAATGGTTTTTATGCAATAAACTTTGTTTAAATAAAAGTAAATCCAAAAGCATGGTGTTTATTGTAAAAAAAACTGACTTATCCGTTAATACTGAATCTTCTACTAAATTTCTTGGCATAATATTGGACTCAAAATTACTGTGGCAGGATCATGTAACCCATACCATAAACAAAATTTCCAAAAATACATATTTATTAAAAAAATTGCTTATTATGATCTTGTACAATCGCATTTAATGTATGGAATACTTATTTGGGGTCACTGTTCTTCAGTTCAGAAACTTTTTAGATTACAGAGAAGAGCAGTAAGAATTATTGCAAATATTGGATACAGGGATGATTGTAGGATGTATTTTAGCTCCTTAAAAATTCTGACACTACCGTGCTTATATATTTATTATTCTTTAAAATATGTCCTTAATGAATTAAATTGTTTTCCTACTTCAAATTCATTCCATGAATATAGGCAGTCATAACTATTCTCAACATAGTGCGTCTGATACTTTGCGACTTTATTATCAAAATATTCGAAGTGTGAATAATAAATTAGCTGACATACATTTGAATTCTATGACCATGACGCAGTATGACATCTTGATCCTCACGGAGACCTGGCTAAAAAATGATGTGTCTAATAATGAATTATTTGAACCGAATATTTTTAATGTCTATCGTAAGGATCGTGATCTTGCGGCAACTGACACTAGTCGAGGTGGTGGAGTACTGATTGCTGCTAAAAAGCATCTTCTAATTGAAACTATTGATCCTTACTCGCTTAATTCTGGCTTTGATGAGATCAGGTATATTGACATTTTAATTGCTAGGGTCAGACTAGTGTATAAATCGGTATTTGTAATTGTCTTGTATATACCTCCTTCTGCCGTAGTTGATGATTATGCTCGTCTTTTTGAGTGTCTATCTTCCATTAACGAATTATTCAGCGCTAACTTAATTGTTATAGGTGATATAAAT